GATTGGCCTGACGCGAAAGGGGATGAAGTAGGTTGCCATCCGACTACGTTACGAATATCAGCAGAAGTGTGGCGGCGTGACAAATTAGACGGTGGTGATGATGCGTTAGCGAGTGGGTGGGGTGGGGGTGCGGGTGCGGGTGGTGGCGCTTGGGCTCTCAGTGAACTTGGTGAGGATTGTCCCGTACCTGTACCTCCAATCGAGCCATACCCTCTGCGGGCAGAGAGAGACAAATGCGATGGAATAGGAGGTCGATGAAAATTTTGGCGAGGTGGAACTCCAAGGAATGACGAACGACGAGGATCATCTTGGGGCACTTGGCGAGGTGATGGGGGATTGTCCAACTGCAAATTCGAGAAATATGGTCGGCTACTTGAGGCGGGGGGTTCGTTCACTTCTTCCATGCCTCTGATGGTTCCCATGTGTCGCTGGATTTCGTCTTGCATAGCAGCAACTGTGATGTGTCAACAATCAAGAAAGTGGCTTGGGAGTCACAGAATACTTACCGTCGCGATGTAAACCTGAATCTGGACCAGATAAAGAGGCTATCATCCTGGACAGCTCATAATTCATCTATGCAAAATTAGTCATGGCTCCTTCTTGTTTCAATGGCGTTGGCAATTACATGTAGGACACGAGTCAGAATATCCATCATCCCCTGGTGTCTGACGTGAAAAAATTGTTGATTGTCGGCTTCTCTAGCCTGTTTAGCATGCATCTCAAAAAGACCGTGTTCCAATTGTATTAGTCTAGACTCCGTTGATTCCTGAATTGGTTGAATTGGTTCGCCTGGAGTTCCGGGTTGCGAAAGCGGTGGTTTAGGGGCAGAGTACGAGTCTCGATGAACGAGAGATTGTCGCGAAGCCCGTCGTCTGATCTCCCTCAAACCAACGACATCTCCGCGCTTAAAGCTGTTTTGTCCATGTTTAAATTCCCACAGCGGAGTTTCCGGCGCATTTTGATGGAAGACATCGCTGACTGCATTTCTATTAGCGAAAATAACCGACGAACGATATGGATAACTAACCTTTGTGAAACCCGTACATATTCAGCTGGCGTACAAAAGAGGAAATATTGGTATGTTTGAAGTATTGTCTACAACTCATAAGTAAAGGACACAGCCCGAAGTGCGTCTACTTACGAAAGAACTTTTGAGAAATCGCTGGATGGTGACATTACGAAGCTGTCCTGGGTAGCGGACCAGGAAATGAGATGTCGAATATTAACATCTTCCAACATACTGGTACACAATCAGTACTTGTAGACTAGTAATAGCTTCTCTTGAGCTCCAACCTGTATAATTTGTGAATAAATGCAGTTTGCACTACTTTTGGCTGAATTCCTCCTCCAGCTGCAGCTGCGGCAGCTGCACTAGGAGTCGCCAAGCTGCCTGAGCTAGGTTGATCTTCCACCATCATATGTTCTGGAATGCCGTTTGATTCGTTATCAGGACTTGTCCTCGAAGGGGGTCCCATCATCGCGCTACCGGGGGGCGTAACATCCATTGCGTCGCTAGATGGGGCGGGGGGTTGTAGAGTGGGTTGTTGAATGATTGGAACTGTTCGGGCGGGAATTTGGCCTAGACTGGGGCCATTGATGTAGGAGTGCTGTTGCGCTCGATCATCCATCACATCCATCTTCGCAATATCTGAGTACTGCAATGTATCTCAATCTTTTGTGTAATTAATGAGGGTCGAGCTTCTAGACACGTCGTGCTTGGTTAAAACCAGAACGTCAAGGCGGCGCAAATGAAATGCGAAAGGGGGGGGGAACACACCTCATCGCCTGCGAAAGTTAATGGAGCTCTGGATTGCCAGAAATTCGGATGATGATGTTAAGAATGGCTTCTTTGTCCGATGCTACTTGCTATCCTGCAACTTCCCGAGACACCTCAGCCTCGCTGCACGCTAAGATGGTAGCAAATGGCAGGAGATATGATATACGATGATATACGATGATATGCGAGTCTTATCAAAACAATCTTGAGTAGCGATGACAATCAATTCAGATGTTATCAAGTTGATGCTTAGAAGTTTGTGGGTGAACTATCTCATCTGGTGAGTTATGAAGTAGGGAGGTCCGTTGAACAAGTGCCGATTACAGATAATGATACCCGAACTTTAATGTGAAGAGACTGCTTAGTTAGATAATGTATCAAATCTGGGATCAATTGAAGGGAATTATTAGAGTGAGGACAGCAGTCCAAAGAAAATATCAAAAAATGTCAAGCAAATAAAATACTACAATAGAACCCGGATGAGGGTACGGAATAGTATTTTGAAGTACTTTGGATGTGAAGAAATGTTAAGAAATGTTAAGAAATGTGATAAATGTGATAAATGTAATAAATGTAATAAATGTGAATGTCAAATGTCATTTGTAGATCTGGTAGAGGAGATGTGGATGTGGATGTGGATGTGGATGGTAAAGAACATTGAATGATGTTTAACCAGGATAAGCTATACCGGATATGAATTGAAAGCCCCGCTGGGAATAAAAAAAACTGCTTAGTTCCCCGATATCGTCTTGGGTCATTCTAGGTATCAAATTTAATGGATTAGAGGAGATCTAGTCATTTTGTGGTAATAAATGCTGTATTACATGTTGTAAATGAAAAGCAAAATTTGATCCATTTGATTTGATGAATTCGATAAATTTATTAGATCTCGAGAACCTCAAGGTTTATTACCACCCTGAATATTGGGAAATGTAAAAAAAAGGGGGGGGGGGGAGAAGAGGAGCCTCGGTCCAAAGTATCGATTGCCATGGGAAAAAAAAAAAGGTAGATATATACGGAGGATGTGTACAAAATTTAATATGGTTTGTATTGTAGTGGCTATGATACGTAGCATGTTCGATGTTCAATGTTCAATGTTCAATGTGCAATGTTCAATGTGCAATGTGCAATGTGCAATGGAAATGGTGACGGGCTACGGGTTACCATCATCATATTTTCTCTCGGGTCCGATCCATCATGCCATCGAAGAAACATCTAACATGCAAAGAATTTTCTTTCATTCTAGAAGCACACAAAGACCATCGAATGCTACCTCGTACGGTACATGGAAGCAGGAAAGAAGGAAGAGGATGCGGCGGCTATGGTAGCTAAACGTTAAGAGCACGGATGAATAAGGGGGCTCGGGGGCTGTTGTTCCTAGACTTGCATCGATTTCTCTACATGGACTTCTTGGTGCGCACGCATAGAAAATATGGAGACGGCTGACGGAGGGCGGATCTTAGCAATACTAGCACCACGCTCTCTTTCCGTAAGGACTCAGGAGTGCGTGAGTAGCGTGAGATGGCGTGGTGGAGAGGAATTCCAATCCGTACTCGATTTCATGGTTGAAAGACAAATAGGGGGATCCAAATTCTAATCCTTCATCTTTCTGGCCCCCAAAGTATAATCTGTCGAGGAATCTACCTAGGATAGCTAGACCTTTCTAGTAACCTCTTACGAATGTACTAACTGAAGTTGCCGTGTCGAGGGTTGAGTGCGTGTGTTCCTACCACACACCACACACCACACATCTCGACTGGCAATCTGGTCAAATTAACCTTCACGATCTGTTCGTCCTACACTCCAATCCCGAATAGCGCATTGGTCATGAAACAGCTTGGGCATCACAAGCACGGTCATCATAACGATTCCTGGAGACTAATACATGTTTTACCAAAGTGTATCTTACTCGCAATGAGATTCCAATAACTCTAAAGAGCGGCTGGCAGGTCACTGTGGTCATCTGTATTGCCCAGACCTCAAAGCTTAATAGAGTTCAGACCAACAGGTCTCATATTATGTTCGACGCGCCGCAATTAGAACAAAATGAATTTCGTTCGAAGTATCAACTCGGTCACATGTGTGAAACGATATGACTAGGTAGGTAGGCACTTTACATGTTGTGCTAAAACTTCTGCAGGTCCAGGTAAAGGCTCCGAGTGAGATCGATACCGATGAAAGGACCTCTCTAATATACTGTACCATGTGAACTAATCTGCAAGCCTGGAAATTCTCCATCGCCTAATATCAGAGATAGAGATAGAGTATATTTGTCGGAAGTATCAGGAGCAGCCGTATTCAAATCTCGATCAATCGTGTAACATCTTTCTGATGCGGTAATATGTGGAGAGTGGTTCTCCCGTCATCAATTCATTCGTAACAGGAAGTAACGTTTCTGCCATTCTCGTTGGTTGCGTGGTTTGATTCAGCTGCTTCCTGACATTACATGTACTTGACATATACAGTGCTCGTCCAACAGCCCCTGGGATGACGGTGATACTGGAATTGATTTGAACGACCGCCCTGAAGTTTGGAAAGGGGCGATGCGTCAAACATTGGTCGAAACACAATAATGAACGTGATATAGATTGAAGTACCAATACCTTGAAAACATTAACAAGTTAGCAACTTCAAGTGCTCTTGATCCTGTGGCTCAATATTCGGGAATCTCGATTTGAAGATATTAACATCAGAGTATATCCTCAACTCACACTTCACCGAGTCGCTGTAGCTTGGTAGATGTACATACATAGTATTTCCATCATCCGTTTCCAGCGAAATGCCAAGTTGATGATCTCGGAGTCAACTGTGGCTGTTACGCTGTTGTGGCTGTCAAGAGATGCCAAGACCACTAGTACAGTATAGCACGTGATCTACACCACCTCATCGTCCCTGATTGCTATAGGTACCTCATTAGTATGCTTATCTAGTAGCTGATGGATAAATCGCCTAGAATTTCTTCTCAATTAAAGTTCGTGAATTTCTATCTGTTCTAGTTTTTCTAGTTTTTCTAGTTCCTATGAGTCACCTACGTTACTTATATGCTGTGGGAAGCATTTGGATTTCTAAGAGATTTGATGCTTGAATCTTCTTAGATAGTCAATATATTTCAGACACCCAGGCAGTCTGGTACACCTCTTAATTTACATAGCATTACCACTGTATTGAATACGAACCTCTCTTAATCAGATCATCTTAAATCTCCTCGGTTGAACACTCCATCATGGCAAATGAGTTGAGCCACGTCCTCGACGGCATGCAACTCGAAGATGGCAGGCCAGATATCCAGTTGCGCACATCAGCGTAAGTCAAGCAACTCGTTACGATACCATCAAGACAAGTGATAAATCCCGTCGAGTGATAGGGATTAGGAGATTTCTATCATTTGGAGATGTCCTCAAAAGAATATGTATGCTCATATTTCTATAGAATACAACATCTCCTCAACAGCTCAACCTTGACATTCGGAGAAATGCGATTATTCAAAGCGCATTTTGATCGAGTTAATTTTCATCATGATGGCATCGCCCGATTACCAGACGAGCTTCTTGCGCTTGTCATGGACTACCTCGATCTTGAGGACTTTGTGTTTATGCGTTGCGTTTCGAGGGACTGGAGAGAGAAATTGTCCAACGAAAAGCTTTGCACGTCACTCCTCAAGATACACTTTCGTAAAACTTGGGAGATCGAATTTAAGTCATTGGGAGACAATGACAGGCAAGTAAAGCTTGGTGATTTCCTTGGCATGTGTATAGGACGACTTAAGAGAGACCGTGGCATGTATGATCAAGTAATGCACTACGATTATTTATCAGACCCAAACGATGACAGGTTCTATTCAAATTGGTGCCACGAAGATTGTTATAGAAAAAGGTTTCAATACAAAAACGGAAGAATAGCAATGAGAAAGGATCCTAGCACCATTCAAGTCGATGATCTACGTACACATGTTTCAAGACGCTATGTGCATGAGTCTCGATATAACTTCGATTATTGGTTACTTTCAGATCAAATGCTCATAGCCTATTTTGATAGTCCGTAAGTCAACGATCTTTCTCAAGAGTCGTATCTTCAAACTTCCATAAACTTTATATGCACGGGATAATGTTAAGAGGATCATACTGAAAGTCTTTGTGTACAGAAAGCCACGATTCAACGTATGGCAGCTTGATGAAGAAGATGACCCGAAATTTATTCATCTGGACTGTCGTTACGAGATATTGGCCGCCCACAACAAACAAATTGCTTTCGGTGTCAAGAGTCCTTCTACCAACCATCCTGTTTACATTTGGAATGATGGCCACATCAAAAAGCTTGCCGATCCGGAATTTGGCGATTTGTATCCCAATTATGAGATTAAGTTTTGTGAAATCTTCTTCCATCCCACTCAAGAGAATCATCATTTCTTATTCTATCATGCCTCACGTTTACCCTTGGGTGGAACTCTACGCGAAGTCGGAAGCGATCTAATAATCGCACAAGAATACATCGCAGGATTACCACAGGGGCAGTGGAATGAAGTGCTTGGATTATGCTTCGACAAAACTATGCTCAAGTTTCGATTCATTAGCGACGATGGCGTTGTTGCAATTCTATCACGAATAGTTCGCTCGCCAGAAAGCAGAGCTTCCATTCAGCGATCACCTTGTAACCATGATATATCATCAGCTGCAAAGTCCGGTGCTTACTTCCTCATGACCTTCAACCTCATGACCCAAAAGTTTGGAAGCATTTCAACTCACCTCGAGCCGTTTCTGGAAATAGTCCCTCATCCTCTAAACCCGTTGTTTTGGCGTGGCCAGGCTACCGTTCCGTACGATTGTAGAAGCAGTGATGCTCACCCCGAACTTTGGAACCCAACCCAGAAAAGATGCCTTATTTTCTAGTGTCCGCAAGTATGTGCGATGCGACAAAGAGAAATCCTCAATGTGTGGGAAAGCACAAGTTTACTGCAGAAAGTGGTTTGAGCGCTCTGGCCGCCTTTTGTTTGCCCATCGACATTAAAGCCACCACATCGTCAAATGAATTCGAAAAGGGAGCTGTATGGGGCGATGATGACTTTATAATCTATAGCCATCACAAAGGATATATTGTATGGAGTTTTAACCAAAAGAAACCTCTACCCACAGGCTTGGCAAACTCCCCTCCGGTCTCCTCGGCCCAAGGAGAATCAACCCAAAGAATATCGAAGTGGAGTAGGAACAATATTCTGCCAGTTTACCGAAGATGAAGAGAATCACGGTCAAACATATCTTCAGCAATTATCATTGGGAGGAAGTGAAAAAGGCAGGAGGATTTGATTACGAATCCTGATTTTATGGAAAGTGATACTCGTCTTCGCTTTTTGTATAATATCCATAATATCTAGAATGATAATAACAATAATAACAATAATAACAATAATAACAATAATAACAATAATAACAATAATAACAATAATAACAATAATAACAATAATAACAATAATAACAATAATAACAATAATCATAATAATCATAATAATCCATCTAATAACTCTCTTCTTCATTACCACCCCCCCCCCCCCCCTCGAAAGTATATACATCAAAACACACAGTCTCCATTTCAAGTTCCCTCGGAACCAAAAAAAGCTAAAACCCAATAGAAACATACAACCGAGAGCATATTAATCATTAAAAAATCTAAATTCTCTAACCTCATATTGCATACATGTATAGAAAATACACATCGAATAGGTGATCTATCAACTCTGAGACTCCAATACTCTCAATACTCTCGATACTCCAATCGCACTTCCCGCACAAAAACACAACTCCTCAAATCGCACAATCGATCTCTCAATTGTTCTTCACTTTAGAAGAGATGATTTGCAAATTGCAAAAGGGGGATCTGTTTCATTGCCTGGTTGCTTGGAGTGGCTTTTTTGTCTCCTTTGCGGTGTGTTTTATCCCATTTTAACCTATCCTATTCTGACTATTACGGGAGAGGAGAGAGGAGAGGATTGAAAGTTGATTGGAGAATATAAGTGTACTCCGATGTGAAGACTTATGAGTTTGTTTATGTACATATGGAGAGTGGGATTGAGATATTGGTATTCATGATGGATTGCAATAGGACGTGGGAGTAGAGGGGTGGGTTTTGATTCAATTGAGAGAGGAAAAAAATGTATATTTGTCTCGCACTCTCTCCGTCTTCATCCTTCTTTACTCCTCTACTTCCTAATTCTCCCCATCTCAGTCTTTAATCTCTCATTTTCAAGTTCCATCCACAATCCACAATTCACCATCCATCATCTTCCGCTCAAACACCCACCTCCTTCAAACTCTTGACCAAATCCACGATACTCCCCTCCAACCCTCTAAACTCGATCCCTAACACACTTCTCGTCCTCGAATTATCAAACTTATAAACCCCTCCTTCCGGATAATCACCCCCTTAACCTCCTTTCCCGGCAACTCCTTCTCATACTCCGAGAAATTCTTCCGAATAATCTCACAAATCTCCTTGTTACTAAAATACCCTTGCGTGATGAAAAATCTCTTCCCCGCCGCCTCCGCAATCTCAATCGCTTTCACGTGCGCCAATGCCAAATCCCTCACATCGACCCAGATAAATGTTCCCGTATCCGGAATCTCCTCTTTGCATTTCCCTTGTAGGAGATTGCGCACGCGCTGGTTAGATGTATTTAACGCATCTAAGGAATTCAGGTAATGAACAATGGGACCTAGTACCAAAGGAGGATTCATGGTGCTAAGTGTGAAATTGGGTTTCTCTTTCTCGACGAATTCCCACGCGGCTTTTTCGGCAAAGGTTTTGGAGGCACGGTAGCCGTTAGATGGGTTTTCAACCGCTTCCGAGAGGGTGATGGGATTCCAGTCTTCTTCGGTGTATGTGTGATCGGGCCAGTTTCCCTTCGAGGCATCAAGAACAGCGGCGAAGGAAGAGGTTACCACGACGCGGGTTACAGAGGGGGCGAACTTTTTGATAGCGTGGAGGATGGCGGTTGTGCCGATTATGGCGGGATCTAGAAGGTCTTTTTTGGTGTCGGTCACGTTGAAGTGGAACTTGAGGTCGTGTTAGTATGTGTATCTCCTCAATGATATCATATCAACATGCAATCATCTCTCCCCCAGGAATCACCATTCCTCTTCCTCGAAATTGAAAATAAAAACATACCGGACTAGCAGTATGCAACACGGCCTCCAAGCCCTCCCCAAACTTCTCTAAGCAATCATCAAAAGCATTTTCCTTTGCAATATCTTCCACGATGAAGAAATCTAATTTGGAAGCAGGAACATCTGAATGAGCGGCTTTGATAGCATCGATTTTTTGCTGGGAACGGACGGTTGTGATAACGGTGTGACCGCGGGAGAGAAGAATATCGAGGATATGAGCGGCGATGAAACCGGATCCACCTAAATGAAGGGAAAAATATTAGTTGTCTGGTTTGATGCGATTTGTGCTGAGGGAATAGGGGAAAGAGAGATGAGGAGATGAGATGAGATGAGATGAGATGAGAGAAGATAGAGAACGGAGAATAGCTGAGAAGTTAGAGGAAGAGAGTATATCTGAAACTTCAAATAATCATCTATTGTCCAAAACCAATTCCCTCAATCAATCTCTTCCTCGATCCTCAGTCTACAAGTCTCAATCGAACGCATCCCCAATCTATACGCATTCCCAACAACACGGTATCACCACCTCGTCCCATCCCACCTCATTCCATCCCATCCCACCTCCAAACCCAAACCCCAACCCCAACTCAACCCCACAGCACAAAAACCCCATGTCAAAAAGGTAGATAGATAAAAAGCCACAACATACCAGTAAGTAAAACCCTCATATTTTCCAATCAAAAGACCTATAATCTCCAAATCTCTTTATCTTTCCCTTTCCTTTCCTTTCCTTTTCTTTCCTCTTCTCTTAATCTCGATATCTTTCCTTACTATTCCTCAATCAATTCTTAAAACAAAGAATCAATCAATCAATCCTTCAACTTAAATAAACAAGCCAGACCCAACTGCGGGGTCCGATGACGTTTATATATCTAGTATCTAGTATCCACCCCACCTCCCACCCCCACGCTCCATCCGTCCCTTCCCTTCCCATCCCTTCCTCCACTATACTATCGCAGATTATCAATCACATCCATTCATCCATTCATTTTCAACTTTCAACCTCCGACGGAAATTGGCTTCGCTCTTAATCGGAGTTTGTGGTGTCGTGCTCACGGTGGGGTAGCATGTCATGTCATGTTAATACCTATATCCGAGATAAACATATATAGATCTCAACAATGCTTTCTCACTCAAGTGTCACTAATACATGTATGTATGTGAAAACTCTCATTCTCAACGGTAGTAAGCGGAGATACACATTAAATCATTCATATACCTGATTTATCTACCTAGGTACTTTCTAGCTCCCTTACCTCAGCCCATCTTATCTCATCTCATCTCATCTTTACTCACTATTTGTACAGATGGGACTTAACATACTATCTACGTTGCCATGAATGAGCTCCCCAGAGCAGATTCTCCATATAAAAAAAGGCGAGTTTGTGCAAGGAAAATGTAATATGGTATCAGCGCTCACAAGATTACTTTTGAAATCTCGCGTGTTGCTACCATGGCCATATCCTCAACGCCGGCGCTCAAAGATATCAGAAGAGAGGCAACATTAAGAAAAAGAAAAGAAAACCAGAACGAAAAAGAAAAATAACATGTCATCCATCTCCAACACCCCGCCCAATCCTATCATTATTTTCTCCGGTGAACTCTGTATAAATCTTTACAGCGAATTATTATTGTTGAAAAGCATGTCCTGACTTGCCTCTCCCGATAGTTTTGAAACTTCCTCCTGATTCCATGATATCGAAACGGCTTGCACCCATAGCTTCGAGATCCGTCATTCCCGAAAACCAGAAGCCGACGATGACAACTAGATAGCTAAGAAGAAGAATAGAACCTTTGAAGTAGTTGCTCTTCCCTTCACCGTACATGTAACTTAGCAAGAACACACAAAGGATGACCGTCACCATATCCCACTGTGGAAATATGAGGCTGAAAGATTTATCGACGAGTTCAGAACCTTCTAACCATTGGCCATTGATGGCACTAAACAAAACCAGAGCCGGAATCTGTAGTAGACACACTTGGAGTGCATAAGCAGATCCGATCTCCATAGACAATGCGATGTTGCCATTCATTGCAAATGAAATGGCGTTCTAGACAACTCATGTTAGCTTTTGGCATACGAGATTGAGAGTAGGGGTACTTACAAGAAACTCGGTTGTATTCGGAACAAGTGCGAATAATGTGATACCGAGGAACTTCTCGTCAATTGCTACGTTTGAAAGAACTACATCGACTGTATTGACTAAAATCTCTGCAATAAGAGCATAAAGAACAGTAGCACCACACAAGATCACTGAACTCTTCATTCGGCTCCAATTTGGCGCATCATGACCACCACTTGTAGCATGAGCCTCTGCGTTAACAGCCTCTTCGGGCTCCGTATGCACAGCAGTTGTTCTCAAAGGAGGCAGCTTGTGCGCATGGGTAGTAGATGCCTTTCGATGAGGTGGTCGGGCTGCATCTCGAGCAGCAATTGTAGCAGCGGTTGCAGCCATTTCAGCTACTTCGCGAACGAATGTCGTATTTTGAGCCTCTGTGAATCCCGGTATTTGGAAATCAGATTTTGTACTATCTCCTGCAGCACTCTTGGGTGGAACTAAATGAGGTGTCTGTGCTGAACCATTCTGATTAACGTCTTCGGGAGTACAGTCCTTAGGGTTGATGCCGGCTTGCTTTAAGGACTGGCCAAGGATGCGTTTATATAGTTGAGAGTCCCGAATTTCATTTCCACGAGAATCGGAAGCAGCCTGAGCGTGTCGTTGCGCGCGGGTTTGTGGGGCGCCACCTGAAGGTTGCTGGGAATTAGTAGTATTGACTTCCGGCTTTTGCTTATCTTCTGATTCATTATTCCATATGACTGCCGCGTGAGTTCGAAGAGTAAACCATAGCCCAATGACATACGAAAGAAACAAAAGCACTGCGGCAAACCAGCAGTATGGGCGGACAGCTTCGAGGTAAAATCTATCGTTCAACGCCGGCGATTGTGAAAAATAACAACGACGGCAATCACGACTTGTTGACTCATACGTGTCGGTGCATGAGAGGCAGTTGAGTTCGTGCTGAGCATAGTAGTTAGCGAGGGGCCCATGGCTATAAAGATATTCATTAACTTACGGTTCCGTATATTTGATAGAACAGAGTAGGACCAAATGCGGCAAGGACAGCAAATAGTAGCATCGTCGAAGTCACACCAGCAGACTTAACATTGAAACGTTGAGTTTTCCTCTTGATGGCACCAAAACACATGGATAAACCCGGCAAGAACAATATACCAGCGAAAATACTACCGATAATACTTCCTTCAACAAGCTGCCCTTTACCTTGATTCAAAGCGATGCAATACAAAAAGACCTCTACCAACGTAGAGAAGAAGGCATTGATCGCAGCGCCCAGTCCCATAGAGGATTGGGCAGAAATAGAAGCTACAGCTTGACCTATGAAGTAGGCAAGAGGGATAATAGAGAGTAGGGCCATAGTGAACAAAAATGCCGGATGAGTGATTGTGATTTTCATATGAAGCATCTCCAGAAGAACCCAATAGTCAAAGATGACGAACAAAACGACAGCCATGAGATTTATCAAGAAAATGTTTGTCCCGTCTACTGTATATTTCCAGTACTTGCTGCCCACGGCGCGATATGTGCATACGAGGATCGAAGAATTTGGAATAGATCCACGAGAATATGCTGAATCTGATTGGAAAGATAAAGCTAAGGGATGTCGACGTAGGTGGTCAAATAGTAGCATTGTAACCTTACCCATGGGGATCCAAAAGACAAGGAACCAACATATACCAGAGGCGATAAAAAGTAGTGGCGTGATCAGTCCGTAAAAGAATAGAAAGAAGATAACTCGTCCAGTATTCCACTGACCCCTTCCAAAAAGTCTTCTTTTATTGGGGCGTGCTGAATCTTCTCGATGAGTACCGCGTCTTGAACGACCGAGTAAACTATCCGTCTCGCTACCACCAAACGAGTCAATGCTTCTTCTTGATCGACCTACGATTGATCGTGGATGATGAGGTCCAAAGAATAGTCTCCCATCCTCAATATCTCCACTTTGCCATTGTTCGTATTCCGTGATGGTGCGGCCCTCTCCTTCATCTTCGTGAGCATATGCTTCGTCTTGTTCGAGTCGAACGAACTTTCCAAAAGGATAGAAAAGATAGCCAGCGAGGTCTAAGAGTACGCGACCATATGCAATAGCACTCGGCGCTGCTCCGAAGACGAAGCATACCAATGCTCCAGTCAATGCTGCAAGTGCCAGCCACCATCCAAAAACTAGTGTCCAGATAATGTTAAAGAAGATCAGCCACTTGTTGACACGACCACCAGGAGATGAATGAATATCGCCTTCTGCTGTCTTCTGAACTGAACGGTTCTTTTTGTACAGGGCAGGCTTCCAGATTCTTATACCGAAAGGATGGGTTTGGTTTATTGCTTGTTGACGATCCTTGAGTGTGAAACTTTCCGCATCACTTAAAGAATCTTCGTCCTCCTCTTCCTCCACCTCTGCGATACCATCTTCTCCCTGCAAAGTATCCTCGCCCGATATAGTCATTTGATCATCTTTTGTCCTTTCACCACTGGTGGAGGCCGCCGCTTCAGCTTCAGCCTCCGCTTCTGCTTCTTCTTCGTGAGAAGAATCTAGTCTTGGTAAAGTTGGCTGAGTTGGAGCAGGTCGTCTCCTCACAGATCCAGGACCATGTCTGGAAGGTCCAAACCCGGATGCAATACCCCCAATTCCAAGTCCCGCCTGTTGCTTGTTCATTTCTTCTTCCATCTCGGTCACATCATCATCTACCGAGAATTCTTGCCCTCTATGAGGCGCTTGTACGTTTGATGAAGCTCTACGCGGCATAGGAGGTTTCTTTGGTCGCTGACCTGCTCGACCGCGGTCGGAAGGTCCTAGCATGGGAGATCTGGCTGGCTGAAATGATCGTGAAGATTCTAAACTGACAGGTTGCGGTCGCTCGCCAGTCATGGACGATTCGCTGTTTCTATGGCCGTCGCCAAGTTGTGGAGTTTGAGGAGTCGATTGAATAGTTCCTACACTTAGTATTAGTAAATCTATAAACTGGCAAACCTGCAACAAACGATAGTTAAGGGTGGAAATTGGATGTGCGGGCAAATTTCAAAGTGGCGTACCATATCCTCCTGCATTATCTGGTCTCCGTCGTATTGTGTCCGTGGACTGAAAACTTTCGGCCAGACCGTCATTTTGTTGTGAGATAGATCTTGATAATGGATGCCGCGTATCTGTGGGACTTGTTGGTGTTGACATGCCGGAAGGAGTTGGAGTTGTATCTTGAGTATCTTTTCCAGATCCTGAAGACTCGCCGGGAGTTCGAGACATTTTGTAACTCGAACCTTGTACACCGACTTAAATTTTATCTGCCAACCAGTCAAAGAGTATGCTGCGATCAGTCGCACATCGGGTATGGAAACAAGCTTAAGGCTTGGATTAAGTTGAGTCCTTTGGTTAGTATAATTGTTAGTTCCCGCGTGTGTGGAAGCTTGAACATGCGAAGAATACGAGAGAAGTAAGCAGATGATGATGCATTCAATATGAGAAAAAGTCTGGAGTGAATTATCGAAATATGTTATTATGTTTACGGATGTATGTGATTGTAGTAAGTAGGTATCTCTCAACTAATCGAGAGGTCTCGAAGAGAGAGAAAAGCGAAAGGGAAAGAAGTTGGGAAGATGCGAAGATGAGATGATGAGAAATGGAGAGATTAAGAAATCCCAATGGAATACAATTGTTATATTATTTTCTCCAGGTTGCGGCGCTTGGGTTGCGAACATGTGCTTAGATACAGTAGCAACAATTTATTTGAATCATCCTTTGAGAAAAAAAAGATCAGGCGGATGTGGGAAAATAAAGTTTGTTTCTTGGGTTTCTTATCGAATGGAATGCTACTACATTACATTATATTACATTACATTGTACTTCCAAATTTTTGGCTGAAATGTATGTACAATCAAGGTATCTTTTGATCATGTAGACAAGGAAAGACAAGACGGACAGGACGTTTTCATGTGCAATGATGATCGCAGTTGAGGACCTACCTGGTAAGCTTGTCTTTCATTGGCGTGTGTTGAGTTGTACATTCAAAAAACAGTTGATCTTTTGAATCCTCTCAATGCACCTTTTGATATATATCATGTTGTGATATGATCATGGTATGATAGTATATGTGTATCTAGTGTTTGTACTTGGATATCTATCCTATCGACGAGGTAAATATCTCGGGATGTACCTATCTACAACTTCTCATCATTCTATAGTCTGGATATGGATCCTCATGAAATCTGGAGTCTGGAGTGCATGCTCTGTAGCGCGAGGCAAGATTCAAGAATTGGAAATCTCCGTCTGCCGTCTGCCGTCTGCCGTCTCTCATCTCCGTCATAATTTGTGATTTGCATGATGAATGATTGGCTTCCCTATATCAAAAGCTTCTATTGTGAGAGTAATCCATCGTAAACGGTATGTTTGACAATCCCACTCTGGATGGAAATCTCCGCCGGTGATACTTTGTGGATAGCTTCCAGGTTCGTTAGCTTGGTTCGAGCTTTTATTACTAAGAGAACATAATATGTATGAAGTTATGAAGTTATGAACGTGTGAACTTGTGAACTAAGGAACTGAGGAACTGAGGAACTGAGGAAGCCATCCGACGCGTCTACGCTTGCTACCTGGAAAGATAAAGTGTAAGCCTTACTTGTAACTTGACCCGAGCGAGATTCTTAGCGTCCTAGCCTCGTGTGTGCACTGTGCACAGTACCAGCAAGACGAGACGTACACTTGTGATACCTTAGGATAAATCAACAAATTATCAGCCTTGAAGAAACAACAACATTACAAAACTTCAAGCCACTGATAATATCATCACCATTTGAGATCTCTTTTCCTCTCTTACACTTCATCCCCAGAACTCATCCATCATGGCGTTGGATAGCTTCTTTCACAATAAGATTGAGAGCATGAAGCTCGAAATCATTCAAGGTCAAGCGGTTCTACGAAGATTAGAAGCTCAACGAAATGACTACAACTCAAGAGGTACTTTTGCGGATGCTGTCGCATAAGAAAGAGTAGCAGCTAATCATGTTAGTGCGACTTCTCCGAGAGGAGCTCGGTTTATTACAACAACCTGGATCCTATGTTGGTGAGGTGGTAAAGGTCATGGGCACAAAGAAGGTGTTGGTCAAGGTGCACCCAGAAGGCAAATATGGTATGGAATTTATCACAGACGTATAGATATTCACAGTACTGATTTTGGATGAAGTCGTCGATATTGCGGATAGTGTCGATATCTCAAAACTTACCGTTGGAAAGAGGGTTACCCTTCTATCGGATTCCTATAAACTCGAAAAGATGCTCCCATCATCCGTCGATCCCCTCGTTTCCCTCATGATGGTCGAAAAGGTTCCAGACAGTACATACGATATGATTGGTGGTTTAGATCAACAAGTAAAGGAAATCAAGGAGGTTATTGAGCTTGGTCTTAAGCATCCAGAACTTTTCGAATCTCTCGGTATAGCACAACCTAAAGGTGTTCTTCTTTACGGACCTCCGGGAACAGGAAAGACTTTGTTGGCAAGAGCTGTCGCACATCACACCGACTGTAGATTCATTCGAGTTTCTGGTTCTGAATTGGTTCAAAAATATATTGGTGAGGGTTCAAGAATGGTCAGAGAGCTATTCGTCATGGCAAGAGAACACGCTCCATCCATCATCTTCATGGACGAAATTGATTCTATTGGATCTTCGCGTGTGGAAGGGTCTTCAGGTGGTGATTCTGAAGTTCAAAGAACTATGTTGGAACTACTGAATCAATTGGATGGCTTCGAGCCAACCAAGGGAATCAAGGTCATCATGGCTACCAATCGTCTAGATATTTTGGATCCGGCACTTTTACGACCAGGGCGTATCGACAGAAAGATCGAATTTCCACCTCCAACTGTCGAGGCCAGAGCCGATATTTTACGAATTCACAGCCGCAGCATGAATCTGACTCGTGGTATCAACTTGACAAAGATTGCGGAGAAGATGAACGGATGTTCAGGAGCTGAGCTGAAGGGTGTTTGCACGGAAGCTGGAATGTACGCCTTGAGAGAACGCAGAGTTCATGTCACTCAAGAGGATTTCGATTTGGCGACAGCCAAGGTATTGAACAAGCATGACGACAAGGAAGTCAGTTTGGGCAAGTTATGGAAGTAGACGGTTGGGTAATGGTCGGAATGGCATTTGTACAGTACAACAGCATGAAGAGCAAAGAGATATCAATTCAAACATATTTGGTGTTTTAGCTGACCTCTCTCGAGCCTCTCGCGCCAATTTGAAGCTTCACGATTTCGGAGTTCCCCTTCTTAGTAGTCCGATCCGAATTGCAGGAAGCCGGCGAAGTTGCCGAATTTTGAACTTTGTGCTTCCGCTTGAGCGATCATCACCTTGTTTTCAATATGACAAGCCCCGATCTGCGTTCTACAGTATCCTTTTGCCATGGTTTTTTTTGCCACCAGAGATGTGAAGGATTTGAAAATGCTGCACGAAGGGTGCAAAGAGGTGGGTCTAAGTGACAATCGACTGACAGACTGACCTTTTTTGTTGTCCTTGAGACCATGTCGTGAATGCCAATAGACTACCCGGATACCCTGATAGCTACTCGATGTCGAGATATTAATATAGTAGAATTGAAATTGTTGTAATGGATTTATTCAATATCACACAGCTCCAGATTCCATAAATCCATATCTCACAATCTTAATTACTCGAGCATTCTCGAGTATTATATACTAACAATTCTAGTTTGGAGTCTAGAATAATGGTTGGAGAATGCTACGGCCACGATAAGGTTTGGGCCCCAGTGATGAGATTCATGAGAATTGCAAAGTTTCCCTCTTTGGGCAAACGGTGAGCCATTCCATACTCTATTTGGTAGATTTACGCTTTTCAGTGGGGGAAAGAAGGTAAAAAAGAAAGTGGGGTCCTATGACGATAAAAAAGCTGGAGCTTCCAACCAGGAGATCAAGCTTCGGAGAGGTCTACATCGTGAGCTACAGTACCAGGGACTTTCAATATAGATTAGAAATTTCTTTCCTCTCTTCTTTCTTCCTTCATACCACCATACTATTCACATCTCAACTATCTATCTCACCGCGACGACGTCAAATTGATATATTTTTGAATATCGAGAACTAGATTCGCTTTAACCCTCCCACATTATATCACTTATGTCCGTATTTCCCCTCTTTACCCCGCCGTGCCCAGCTCTCACATTCTTGAGACTATTGGCACACTCGATATTCTATTCCATATCCAATGGAAATAGCTACCACCGAGGGCGTCAAGCTTGGTAACACGTACTAATGGGGATTGTAGAGACAAATAGACAAAAGCATTTAATACGAATACCGGCATCATGAATCACTCGTTGCCTTTCCGTCAAAACTACAGGAAGTAAGTGGATTCATATCCCCCTCTATCAGTTCTTACGCCAATATTGCTTGTATTCGCGCATTACCAGATCTTTGTACTGATTGTATATCTTTTAGACCATCGCGTCAAGCGAGTATGGAGTGAGTACTTCTCCTTATATCAAGAATTTCAATTCGTTACCTGGCATGTTCAAATGGTTGTGCCGAGCTCGGGTATTGGATGTGGTGGATGCCCAACACATCTTCTGTTCAGGACCCAACCAACACTTGAACATTTCGAATTGAGTCCCAAAAATTGGACATGGAAATACAAACTCATAGGGTGCCTTGAATTAACCCGAAGAATGAGAAGTTTGGGGGTCGAATGCACGCAAATTGTTGCATCAACAATAAGAATGAGGGGCATCTTATACTGACATGTCTATAGTCCACACAACGATTTAAACCCTCATGTAGACCATTTCAGTAAGTTTTCCACAAATTTCTTGACGATTCCGTACTCAGAATCACTTGAAAGACGTTTCTGCCACGTTTAACACTCAGATCATTTTCACTCGTTGACATTAGCTAATTTTTGTGATAAACAGTCGGTATCGATGTTGGAACTGGATCAGCCAGAGCGTGTATCATTGATGCTTCAGGAGATATCAAGGCCTGTAAGTTTTACACACCGAGAATACATTGTAGCAAGTCCTAACGTTTGATAGTGGCTACAGAAAACATTGGTTTATGGCAACCGGAAGTTGGATACTATGAACAATCCACAACAGACATCTGGAGATGTATTTGCATGTGTGTGCAAAGAGCTCTCAGCCAACACAACATTGACCCAACAACAATCCGTGGTATCGGTTTCGATGCTACCTGTTCCTTGGCAGTATTCTCAGAAGATACCGACGAACCAGTACCTGTCACCGGTCCAAACTTCGCAAACGATGGCAATGACCGCAATGTCATTTTATGGCTCGACCACAGACCAGTCGAAGAGGCGAAGAAAATCAACGACACAGAACACAATTTATTACGATACCTTGGAGGAAAGATGAGCATTGAGATGGAAATTCCCAAAGTTCTATGGCTTAAGAACAACATGCCACCTGAGCTCTTTGACCGCTGCAAGTTCTATGATTTGGCAGATGCTTTGACGCACATTGCAACTGGCAATGAAAGCAGATCCTATTGCAGTACTGTCTGCAAGCAAGGATTTGTCCCAGTTGGTGTTGATGGAAGTGTAAAGGGATGGCAAGAGGACTTCTACGAAGCTATTGGTTTGGGTGATCTAACCAAAGATAACTTCAAGCGAATGGGAGGAGTAGACGGAGTAGTAAGCCCGCTTCTAACTGCGACTTATGATTTTCAATCATCCGAATAAATGCTAACATAATCGTACAGAACGGCAAGTATCTCAGCGCCGGTGAACTTGTTGGTACCCTCAGCGAAAAGGCTGGTAACGAACTTGGTCTCCCAGCTGGAATTGCTATCGGAAGTGGTGTTATTGATGCTTATGCTGGATGGATCGGTACTGTTGGTGCAAAGGTCAACTTGGGACAAGATTACCTTGATACTGGAGCACCCAAGAACGACATTTCCCAAGCATTCAGCCGTCTTGCAGCTGTAGCTGGAACTTCTACCTGTCATTTGGCTATGTCTCGCGAACCTGTCTTCGTAGATGGAGTTTGGGGTCCTTACCGAGACGTTTTGCTTCCTGGCTACTGGATGGCAGAAGGTGGCCAGTCTGCGACTGGTGAACTTCTCAAGCACGTCTTAGAGACTCATCCAGCATATAACGAAGCCATGTCCATGGCAGAATCATTCAACACCAGTATTTATGATTACCTAAATTCCCATCTTGAGGAACTGAAGGAGAAGGAAAATGCTCCAACCATCTCATATCTTGGACGTCACTTCTTCTTCTACGGTGATCTCTGGGGTAACCGCTCACCAATTGCCAACCCAAAGATGACTGGTTCAGTTATTGGACTTACCAACGACCGCAGCATGGACGGTCTAGCCATTTACTACTACGCAACCATGGAATTCATTGCCATGCAAACACGTCAAATCGTCGAAACCATGAACAGTGCAGGTCACTCCATCACCTCCATCTTTATGTCGGGCTCCCAATGTCAGAATAAGATTCTCATGGAACTTATGGCTACTACATGCGCTATGCCAGTTCTGATCCCAAGATATGTACACGCAGCTGTTGTTCACGGTGCCGCCATGCTGGGAGCCAAAGCCGCTAGTGCAGATAAGGAGGGCAAGACAGAAGAGTTGTGGAGCATCATGGATAGAATGAGCAAGCCGGGCAAAGTAACCAGACCAGGAAAGAACGCCAATGAGAAGAAGTTGTTGAATGCTAAGTACAAGGTATTCCTTGAGCAGTGCAATACACAACAGGTCTACAGAGATCAAGTCGATGAAGCGATTGAGGGCTGGAGCGCTGAGTAAATAGTCTTGACAGGAAAAGTCAAAACTTTTGATTACGAATGAACGAAACTTTGGGATGGATATTTAGGGTTGATGAGGGTAGATAGTTGGGTAATAGGTTAGCGTATTTTCTGCATAGGATGTGCAGAAATACATTACGATATTAAAATAGATAGTCTTCCTGTCACATTTCACTCCTCATAAATTCATTATGTGAGAAAGAAAAATGAAAGATGTCGAAATCAGTGGTCATCTCATTGCATCTCGTCCCAAGCTCAAATAAACTGTACGCCATTAAGTGATATCATCTCGATCTTATAAGTGAATAGACATCACTCAGCAACTTCAATTCGTTTACAAAATGTAAAGTTTATATTCATTGTATAGATCTCATCTCAGATGATTTAATGAATAAACACAAATTCCCCTCCCTCCCCTTTCTATTCTACAATCAATCATCTGATCTGACTCCTCTACACGATATTGAAATCTGCATACCTAGGTATGTAGCTATCGACAGCAAGCAACCCATCTACGTAAGATATACCTATTTCATTTCAGTTCGTCTCATTTACTTCTATTTTGCTATTGGTAGGTAGGTATTTCTACATTCGTATTGCGTGGTATCTGCATCCGCACATATCCACTCACTCCATATTCCTTATTCCTGGGATATGATCTCGCTGTCTAGCTGTAGGTACCGTACCTAGGAAGCTAAATATTCGAAAACGATTTACTCATTCATCATACATATCATACCTCGAACAGCCCCCAAACCCATTCATACACAAGCAAGCAAGCAAGCAATTAGGAGATCAGAATTTCATCGTTCCTTCATTCATTCGTTATTCAACCTCCTTAATTACTTGATCACTTGATTGCTTGACCGATTATTCCTACTCGTATATACACTAAGTACCCACCCACATCTCATAATTATCATCTAAAATCTCAATATCTCCTCGCCATCTTTATCTATATCTGTATGTGTATCTTCATCTCTACCCTTTTCAATGCAATAGAAATGCAAAAAAAAAAACGGTGGAATAATATCCACTATTACACCAATATATATATACCAATGTATTTCTATCCATCCATTTCCTCATTTTCTCATTTTTTTCCTGTAAGCATTCGTATACGCGTATACATGTCCAAACATGTATATTTCAGTTCAAACCCCAATTTAGATCCCATTCCCACTCCCTTTTCCAACATACCACCCGACTCCCAATACATATAACTTCTTGAGAAACGTACAGACATGTGCACAAATCTAGTACGCCGTTGACTTCATTGCCTCCCTTCCCTTTCCTCCTTCTTACCGCCCAAGTTAAAAATATGCGATGGGTCAATCTGATACCCATTCATCTGATGTACCCCTTACTCCAACCCCAAAAATGTATTTATACAAGAATCTTCCCTCCACCTAAAAACCTTTCCATTAACCACTACCTTCTATCCCCCTCCATCTTAACGCGATACGTATCCCTCAACCCCGGAAACACACTCGCAAATTGTGGTCCCAAACTCCAATTTTCCAAGCGTCTCAAATGTCTCTCAAAAACCGGATTAATCAACAACTCTCCCTCCTCACTAAACCCCAGACCCGATCCCCCACTTCCACCCCCAGAATTTAGAAGTGCATCTGTAGGTTCATACGGCCAATTGACACTCAATGTACCCGTAAAGGGGATAAAAAAGTTATCAAATAGATAATCCCGGGGATTGTAATCTCTCACGAGAATATCCCGCATTTTAGGCCAAGGGAGATGATCGATCCATGCTGGATGCGGGGTAAAGAGCTGAGAAGGACGAGGAGTTATCCAGGAAGGGAGACGGTCATAGTTTGCTTGACTGGGATGAATTTGCCAGCGCATCAAGAGAAACATTATATAGAGCACTGCTACTCTTTCGGGGAGAGTAGATAGGTCGGGAAATGTGGCAAGGATATCGGTGAAGACTTTTGAGACGGGGTGGGAAGTAATGCCACGAGAAGGATTTAAGAGGCTGGAAACGGAAGGATAGGCTGGTCCTACGAGTTTAGGAGTAGGTAGACCTTCGAGAGCGGCGGCTTGACGCTCTTGGAGGAAATCCAGAAGGAGACTATCTAGAGGGCATGTAGGAGGTCCGTTTCGGATAGGAGCGCTAAATCCGTTCACCTCCGAGCCTGAACCCGAACCCGAAGAATTATTTGGAGTGTTGTAATTCGTTGTGCTACTAGCTATTGAATTGTTGCGCTGGTGTATGGGACTCATACTGTCAGCTGGTCTTTCCATTTGTTGAAATCCAGGAGTTTCTAGCGGACCAGGAGGAGGGATGGGTATCTTCCCGCGTTGTCCTTCGTCAAGAAGGAAATCTAGACCAAGTCTTTCGGGACCCAATTCAAGATTATGTGCCATTTCATGCCGTTGTTGTGCTAATTGTTGGGTTTGCTGAGATTGGATAAACGGTCTGGAATCTTGGGTAGGGGCAACTGGCATTGATGCAGAAGAAGCTGGCCATGAAGGTCCTGCAACGGCGTTGGGAGAGGCTACACTATTAGGAGTCGATGCATTGCGATTCGCGGAATTTGGTCGGTTGGGCGGAGGATAATTTGGCTGTGGTGGTAATTGAGAAATTTCGAATCCTGTATCGCAAAGTTAGCTATCGGTTTGGCTATTTCTGCGAATTTGTTGAGCCACAAACCCAATTACTAACCATGAGCACCAAGTATTGGTGTGATAAGTGCAATGACCTGCGATAGCCTCTTCTTGATATCTAAGTTCTCTTGCTCTACCATTTCCTTCTGCCTTATCACTTGCTGTAACTCCTGATAAGGTTGTTGGCTGGTCAATTCTCGAATCCTCCTCTCATACCCCTCCATCTGATTCTTCGTCCTCTGCCTTATACTTCTTTGTGCCTCTCTATCGTTCGCCCTCTTCTTCGCCAACTGCTCTGGCGTTAAATTCGCAACACCTCTTGCACTCGATCTCCTCTCTTCCGTTGGCGGAATCTTTCTCTTCTTCGACGATTCCCCTCCACTAGTTCCACCTCCACCTACACTGCCCTCTCCTTGCTCGACCGGAGTACCACCCTCCCCACCATCACCCGTCGCATTTACATTTTCGCCCTCATCCCGATCACCCGGTATAGAATGCGCGACGCTCACATGTCGCTGTTTGGACAATGGAGATGTAGATCCCTGCTGAGTTGCATTTACATCAGGTGTCATGCTGTATCTGCGAGAACCCGTGCTTCTCGCATGCGATGCGGCCTTCCGTGAGACTTCCTAATCTTAATGCTCCAATTTTTGAGAGCATACACAGCACGATTCGTCTTGCTACCAATAGATAAGAGACATCAAGTATTTATTTCGCGTTTGGTAAAGTGAATGGGGTCGAGAGATGGAGGGGTTCATTCATATATATATATCGTCATGTACATTTGAATATTGGGGTTCGCTCGAGTCATGTACTCCGTAAATTGAGGAGAATAAACAAATATATGAAAGCTCGGGGAAAACAATGGAGAAAATCTGGGAAAATACCGGGAATGTTGATGTCAAATAAGATCATTTTGGAAAGAGCTTACTAGGTATATTAATTGAATACCAATCATTGCGGAAGTGATCCGCAATCTAACCTTTATCTTCATTTGACAAATCTTTACATGTCATGGTCTTTTGAGTGTTTACAGAATAGCTAGTTGTGCTGTGCCATTCTAGAACCCGTATGCACTGATCTGCTATTAAATATTCGCTTGTATCTATTATAAGGGGTCTATTGTTATCAACTTTCATATTAACCTGCCACGAGCTTGCTATAATGCCCCCAAACCATATAAAAACTGCAATAATCCCCTGCGAGAGTCATGGTGTCACCAAACAATCAGGGGACGGACAATTCCCAGATCAGTTTCTAGTGAAGATTATGAAGAGGTATTTGCAATAATACGGGGAGATGCCTCGATTAGTATTCATTCCCGCATAAATATACCAATCAAAACATCACTTTGGTCATATATTTGGAAGCGAAATTTCGATATTCATTAACTACTCATAATTAATCTTCTAATAAACAAGACATTTCATTCTTCATCTATGCATTTGTTCATGAGAAACTGTAAAAATGAACTAAAAAAAGTAGTAGACAGACCCCAGTGTTTTCATTTCGTTCCATCCAAATAAAAACTCAAAATTCTCTTTTAATCTCTTCCCGCTGTGCTATTCTAATATACATCCAAGCTTATAAGCTCATGTCATATGTTCATTCCTTTACTCCGATTGAGCCCTCGCAAGAGCTTCATGAAGAGACGCAGGGAATCTGTATCTCAATTGACTGGTATAAGTCGTCAAGTCCATGTTTTGTTGTCTCAATTGATTGATCATCAGTCGTCTGGTACCCTCATTACCTCCATATTGGGCATTCATGAGGGAAGTTCTTTGGTTGTTGCAACACAAAACTGTCCATGTCAAAAGACTAGGGATAGTGTTTGCAACCTCTTGGGAGAGCGATGAAAATTTAGTGGCATAACTTCGTACTGCACTTGGATTGCCCTCGGCGCTCAAGGGAAGAATGTCAAGATTCTGGACAACCTATAGTAAAATAAAATTAGCTTACGATCTGCAAGTGTCAAGGGTCAAAACTTACATCTAATGCTTCAGCCCATTGTCTGTTTTCAACAAATTCCTTGGCACGACAGATATTCAACAACGCCTCGCAAGCTGCACGGTTCTCTTGCTTAATCTTGTTGAGATACATGCGATTGTTTGAGTAGAGCTTCGTCATGATGGTAGCCAATTCGAAAGGATCATCAATTGACGTAAGACTGAGACTGGTATGGGCCTCTCTTCCGGATTTATCTCCAGGCCTTGGCTTGAGTGGTTGTAATCGCAACGGGCTATGGCCTACAGGCACGGCAATAGCTTCGCTAAGGGCTCTGTTAAGGATACTAACGACGGTGTCATACTCTTCCGCCAAGTGATAAAGTAGGACTGCATCGGTGGTTCGCCCATTGTCGTCCGCGACACTTCCTGCCTGTATCGTAACTGTTCTCATGAAATCATCCGCGCTGCTGAGATTGATGAGTTCCAAGCGTTCTTCGATAACTCCCTTTAGACGCTTCCCATCTTGTCTGATATCTCCAAGCAACAGAGCAAATTCTCTGCTTTCCAAAATCAGCTCTTGAAGAGCTTCGTGGCATAATGCGACTTGTTTTGAACCAGCATCGCCTTTAAGGTCACTGTTAAGACAGATCAAGGTGAGATAATCCACGGCAGCACTGACATTAGCAGCTCTGAATTCTGCAGTGTAAAATCCCATCATTAACCCAAACGCTATCTGAGGTTGTTGTCTTATTGTGTAACTTAAGAATCCACCCTCTGCAACATCTGGATCTGAGACTCGAAGCAAGCCGTAAAAATCAAGTGCCGTAGCGAAATGAACACAATCAGAAATACTATGGCGATAAAGAAGGTCGATTGCATCTTCGAATAAGCCTGAAAGTACCAACAGTACAAAGTAAACACTGAATGGTCCACTATTTTCATTTCCCTTGGAAAACATCCGGGCACCAATGTCTTTGAATGTCTTTTGTACATTGGCGAGTCCATATGCATCGCTGGCAATTTCATCGACTCGGTTTGCTTCGCGCGCAAGGACAAATTGTATCCAGACAAAGTCATCCTGGTTCTGGACAATATTTTGATCCAGAGCGCGAACGTGTAGTTCGCAGCGACCAATTATCTTGTAGCATGCCATTCTGAAAGGATCAATAGAACCCTCAGGGGAGATTCGATTTCGCTGGCTGTATTCGCTTTGAATACGATTTTGAAGGTCATGAGTTAATTTTCTGTCTGGACTATTGGCATATTCTGCGATATAAAACATGAAGCTTCGGTCAATTACCCTAAATGCTTCCCTATTCCCTTGGACATAAGCATTGGCTTCCTCAACGTGGCCAGATCTTAAAAGATAAAAGACAACTGCCCAGACGTAATCATCGTTGACAATTTGTAGAGCGGAGATGTCTGTAGCAAGGTCTTTACGGGCTGAGCGCAGGCGAACATAACCTTGGATTTTTGTGAGAGGACTAGGCTTACCACCCACAAGTGCTTCCCTGGGATTTTTGGCAACAATAGTTTCTACGTTTTCAAAGAATTCCTTTTCAAGATATCGAAGTGATCCACTGAGTATCCGCTTTTTCAAATCGGCCGCTTGAGCAGAGTTTGTATTGTCATCCAGATATGCAGCTGCAAACTGTCTCTGTTTGACCGCGCCAGGAAGTTGTAGTCTGTCCGGGTCGGGATCTTCGCCAACGATTTCCATCAAGCATCTATATGCCCTGTAGACATCTGCAGAATGCTGTTCAGCACCTTGGGCCACAACAGTTGAGAATTCGTTCGCAATTGGGTAGTGAAGGTTCTTTAGTCTAGCACCATTGAGATTCTGGACTTTCTCGATATATCGAGCCTGCTTCTCGCGAATAAATCGGTCACTTGGAATTGGTGCCGATCCATTCGTATCTGCTTTCTCTATATCGGTAAATAGTGTGCGGTTTGCGGTTCCGCCTGGAGTAATAGCTCCTATAACAGATCTCTGCATGCTTGATTTTCCAAAAACGCTGGCCCGCGGAATTCCAGGTCCTTTAGACGCTCCAGGAGCAAGTCCTTTGCCGCGTCTTGATCGACCAAAGCCGCCCATAGATTCTGTAGCCGTAGCTGCAAAGCTTACTGATGGCCCTGTTGTCTGTTCTCTTCTGGGCTTAATTCCAAAATGTTCGTATATTCTCTTGCGTTGTGCACTCCATTCCATGGCAACATTCTCCTCCAGGAAATCATCGAAATCTCGAACAGATCGTGCCAACCCTTCAGATATCATGCTCATTGTAGTTTGCGTTTCCAGACGTGTAAGGTATGCTTCGACATCCGCATCAACGGGTGCTTCTACAGGCGCTGTCCTATCGAGTCTTCCCGTGGCAGCAGTGAATAAATTCAAGTCTCTGAGCGCAGCGCCTGGATCTACGCCAGAAGCTGCCAATAGGTAATGGGCTCTTCCATCGACAGAGCCATCTTGAGTAGTAGGAGCCAGCCTCTTCATGCGCTGACGAATATCCCCCAAACCTAATTGTAAGCCCAAAGAATCCTCATCGTGTGCCCTCTTACGACTCTTCTCCAATATAGCATCAAAATAGGCACCGCTTGTACCATTTTGTTGTCGAGATTGCGAGAGAGGTTGAGTTTGTGGAGTAGGTCCGAACATTGATCCTGAAGGGTTGGGTTGTGTGGTAGTATTTCCGAAAAGTCCACCAGCATTTTGTTGCGGCTGCTGTTGTGGTTGTGCCAAAGAATTACCAAAGAGACCTCCGGTTGTGCTGTTTGTAGTTTGTGGTTGTGTAGTCGCACCAAAGAGACCGCCTGTTTGTTGTGGTTGTGTTGCTGCTGGAGTTGCTCCAAGTCCTCCAAATAAACCACCGGATCCTGTCCCTGATTGTTGTTGAGGTTTAGCTGCTCCAAAAAGGCCGCCAGTTGATTGAGGTTGACTTGTTGTTGTTCCAAAAAGGCCGCCAGTTGATTGTGGTTGACTTGTTGTTGTTCCAAAAAGGCCGCCAGTTGATTGTGGTTGACTTGTAGTTGCTCCAAAAAGGCCTCCAGTCGATTGTGGTTGACTTGTAGCTCCCATTCCACCGAACATTCCTCCCGATGATGGCGCCTGACTAGTCGCAGTTGTTCCCAATCCACCAAAAAGACCTCCCGTACTCGCACCTGTAGCCGCTCCTGTTGTCTGCGGTGCACCAAAGAGTGATGGCTTGTTTTGATTCGTATTCCCGAAGAGCGACATATTGACGGATTCCAATTCGTTACAAAGTTCTAATTGAGATGAAAAGAAAGGGAAAAGAAAGAACTCTTGACGAGTGGAAACAGATCAAGAAAGAGCGCAATTTAATGCTCCTGAAAAGGGAAAAAGTTAAAGCTTAGAATAAGCTTATAACTTTTTGGTAGAGACGCGACTTTTTTTGAAGCTGTTGATAGAAATTAAGTTTTGCGCTAATATTTACAGGCTCCAGCTTCCTACTTACCCTGAAATCTTTGATTGGTTGTCGCCAAGGAAACAGAACTACCTATCAATATCAATATTCACAACTCGCAGTCTTTGAAACATGCCTATTGTATCAATTGATGATGTTTTCAGATGTTGCTTCTCAATCGGAAGATTATGAGGTGTTCAAATTCATGTCATTAGAGAGTTCAGAGGATCTTGAGTTTTTTGAATCTTTTTTAATTTTTGATTTACCATCTGTGGTAGTGTGTACAGTACCCGTGGGACCGTACTCAACAATCTAAAGCAATTCCATCTCGACTTTACAAGACGACCCAAACGCCAATCTAATGTATTTACACCTAGGTATGGCAACGTTCCAAGTTTGCCTCCCACCAAAACGCCGAGCAAATCTCAAAGTGAAGAGATCTATCCTAAAAGATTTCCGTTCCCACTGAGCTTCCAAACCATGACCCCAGCTCATCCGTATCCTTATCTTTATCCGCACTGAAGAAATCCGTTAACCTACTCGTCTCGTCGTCTTCCTCAATTGGCCAATCGACTTTAGCCGCAATCCCTTTGAGATCTAACATGTCTTTCGTCGTCCCCAACTAAAACGACACTCACTACCCCATCCAAATACGGGATCCATGTTGCGTTTTAGCCATGCAGTTGCTCTAGCATCAGATGGATATCCCGAACCCCAACTGTCCTCTTCCGTTCCGCCCATCTTCTCGTCCCCGTCTTTGTTCAAGTAGCTTTCGTACAGTGACTCTAGAGCAGCATCTCTGGTAACCTTTGCACATACACTTGCCGCACTCACACATGGATACAAACTATCCGCCTTCTTCGCAACTGTGATTTGAGCTGTAGGGAAGATCCGTTCCAATTTCTTCTGATACGTAACTGTATTTCCCAACGCATCGATATAAATTTCCTTCACATTGACACCTTTATCCATCACACCCTGAATCAATGCGATAGTAGAATCCATAGCCTGGGCATTCAAATTGTATGTTGCCGGTTTCATCATGTTGGCACCAATATCTCTCGCCGACATAACGTCGACCGCCCAACCACATTGTGTATACAGATCTGAACCTGGCGTGCAGAGCTTCTCCATAAGCTCGGATCGAACGGTCGGAGTAAGGACTTTACTGTCATCGAAGTGATGTGTATTTCGTAACAAAGGATCGGAGAGAGGTAATGGTAAATAAAATAGTCCGTATACCATGGGACCCAGAACAGGACCACGCCCAGCTTCATCAATTCCTAAAGCACATGGTGGACCAGGAGCTGGAGGCGCATCGGGTTTCGAAGCATCGGTATTGGGTATAGGAAGAAGTGACGGAGGAACATCTGAATAATGTTGATATGAAGCACCGGATAGTAGTAAAGATTGGTTTATCGAGGGGGGTATGAATACATCGGATGCGGGGGTTTCAAGAGCAGCGTCTACTTCCATCTGAGAGTCCGCCATATCTGAATTGATTCTCGTAGGTCGCAAAAGTTTGTCGATTTTGGCGTTCTTTTGATTGTGAATCTGAGGAAGACGCGTTTCGCGAAGATTTCGCGTACATTACTTTATTTCGTGAATCTACAGGGGTTGGCGAGCGAATAACTCCCGGTGCGCAGCTCATGGTTTTACCATTGATTTTAACACCCCAACACCGCCCAATGCACCCATTAATCTCATATTCAACCTAACATGATGTCATTATGAAAACAAACGAGGCATTTACGACGTGAGACGTTTCTAGAGTTGGATAAAATCCCTTCATTCGCTACATAGACACCCCAAAAGATGGACGTATCAACGCGCACTCGATGTCCATATGAAAATGCTGACGATGATTAAAAAGCATGGTATCATCAAAAAAACCTTCAACAATTAACTCCCCAGTCAGACGTGAGAACATAAGCCCATTTTTCCACCCCGTCATACCACAAACGTGAAAGCACAAGTTGCAAAAAGACGAGAGGGAAAACAAGTAGACACCAATTACATTATTTGTACATTATTGACTTGCAGGTGGAGCAGCGCCGCCTTCCGAATCTTCAAGTTCACAACCTTGCGCAAAAAATATTCTCGCTGGTTTGTCGTAATCATTGGTGATGCTATAAAAGTTTCCTGCATTGTCTTAGTATTTGAGTAAATGAGTATTTAGTGAAGTTGATGCTTACCTCGAGGGACTTGCCACTGTCCGCCTTTGCCGATTCTGAAAGTCGTTTCGTTGACCGAAACTTCAACTCTGCCATAGAACACAAAAAACACCATCTGCATCTTCCTCGAATTCTTTGGTTTCTTGACAGCGCCAGGTTCGAGGTCAACCATACCTGAACCGAAAAAGGGCAATGTAAGGGTTTTGGCAAATTTGAACGAAGCATTTGGAATATCGCGAGTCTTGATTGCAGCTGACGAAAAAGCGACATCTTCCACTTTCTCCGCAGCATTTTCTCCAACTTGATCTTCCGGGTCCCATATTCGTACTGAACCCTCAATGCGACCAGGTTGGGATTCCCATTCTTCTGTTTCCGAATCTTCATCCAATTCCTCTCGCGCCCTCTTCTTTGATTTTCTTTTGCTAGATTTTTGATATTTCGGTCTCGAGCGCTTTTCTTGCTCTACTTCATCTACACGAACAACCTCCTTAATGCTAGGTAACAGAATCTTTGCACCGTGGGTTCCATCTGGCACCGTTCCGTCATCGTCATATTCGACGTGTTCACCCTTCCAGAATGCGAGAGGTTTCATTGAGTTACGGCCAGATCTTGTTCGTAGCATACCAGTACCACCCAATGCCGTTTCGCGTCGAAGAATATAGAGGCCATTTTTCCTGGGAATTGGGGGACCACGGTGAACTAGAGGCGAGTCCACCTCAGATACTGGGGCCATCTTTGATCGACCCTTCGGTTTCGCTGCTGCTTTGGGTACAGTGGTGGATTTCGAGGCATTACTCGGCCTTCCAGATTTTCCAGGGTTTTTCCTTGTAGGTTGGGGTGCTTCGACAGCTTCTGCAGATCGACGTGCTTTCTTTGTAGGTCTTTCTTTAATTTCCTTTCTTTCTTCCTCCACAGGTTCGATTTGAGGAGCCGAATTCTTCGGTTTCCTGCCTCTGCGTTTTGGTGCGGGCTGCTCTAGTTCCGGTACTTCCTCTGGCTCTGGCTCCTCAACCACTTTCCCTTTCCCTTTCCCTTTCCCTTTGTTCTTACTTGCTACTTTTCTGGGCGGGGAAGGTTCCGGTTCTGGCTCATCCTCTTGTTCGATCTCTGCTTCCTCTTCTTGTTCCTCATACTCTTCTACCAAGTCCGAGTTTCCCTCGAGCGCATCGACAGCAGCATCGTCATCCTCGTCATCCGGAGCGTTGTATTGATTTGAATCATCTTCGAACTCCAATGCACTCTCGTCTTGATTCTCCATACCATCGCTACTCTGGTTTAAAGTTTGCGGAGGGCGTCTACCAGGTGAAAGTCTAGTGCCATTCGTAAGATTACCTAGTGCTGGGCGTCCTGGCTTTCCTCGTTCATTGGGGGCACTCGTTGCCTGTTTCGTTTCAACTGCAATATCTTCGGCTGAGAAATCCAACTTTCGTCGAACAGGACCCGTATTATCGGCTTCACTAGATGCTTCTTTGGCGGGGGAAGATATGCCGAATGATGGATGCCTGCGGGCAGGCGACTGTAGGTGTGTTTTTAAAGGCGACCTCGATCTAGGTATAGGCAAAGCCAATCGCGCATCTTGTCTTCGTTGATTCAAGACTTCGGTAGGTTCCGGGGCTGTATCTAGAAGAATATCAATATTGCCAATCGCGCTGGCGCGTTTCTAGTCATGTAAACATACTTTCTCCATCCATATCCATATCCTCCTCACTAGATATTGTCGCGTCTTCCAGCGCGTTTCTCCGTGGTCCATTTGCGCTTCTAGCCGTCTTAACACTTTCAGGTTTATCGGGAGAGAATAAATCATCCATTGGCTCCAAGCCATTTGCATCGCGAATTCCAGTATCTGGGAGTTCAACACCAGTTTTCCTAGTCCTATTTTAATAATGTATAAACAAAAGAACAATTAACCACTAACCTTCCTTTGACTCCTAAGTTGAACAAGTATTGATTCTCTCTATTTGCACCTGTTCTCCGCCTTCCTGGCGGTGATGCGGACTGTTCGGGTGCCATCTCGGAATCAAAATTGAATGCTACGCGTAAACAAACGAAAGGGAGAACGCGTTTTTAGCTATCGTGATTGTTAAGGTAAATTGTACCGATTGTTATAGAGCCATATGCGACAGTAATTTTGTAGGAATTTCTGAAGATTTCACGCCTTTGAAGGATGTGTGGCGTGAAGTACTTTGTTGATGAGGGGGAGTTGTAAATTGAAGATATGCCAGATCCCTTAGTGTCCTCGAGAAATAAATCCTGGCTAAGTGACCCCAGGGTGCAAGGGAAAATCACTGAAATCGAAAGTCACCAATGCCTACCTGCCTGTATAGAGTACCCTTATAAATTACTCTGTTATGTTTATCATGTATCAAATTTATTACAATTATTGCCCACCTATTGATAAGTTTTAAAGAATGGAATTTTATTAATTTTGATATTTAATAATAAATAATAAATAATAAATAATCCGTTGTTTATATTTTATTCCTAAAGTTAATAAGTTTGTTAGTTAACAGCAAAATATCTACCTACCTACTTCCACCAATACACAAGGCTTCTTCGTCCCGAGGTCGTTAATGCTGTTGGCACAATTTCACCACTAAAAAGTGAATCATTCTATTGATCATCGAATGACAAGGGTATGATCATGACGATGTTAACAGCAAGGGCAGTTGATAATATATCGTCACAATGGATAAAACATGTGTATGGGGGAAAAAAGACTCCATACAAACGGCAAGATTTCCATATTGGAATGTGATATCGAAGTGATAGAGTCTCCTACGTAGCACGTGCACTCTACTCTAATCTAGCTTGGGACTACTATGTGAGTATCTTGCTATGAGAGCTTCGCACTTCCATGGAATCTTGGATCCTGAGTAATCACTACATAGGTAGCCAATATAGTCTCAATTCTACCATGTCAGCTTCCCACCATTCCCCACGGAGAGGCTATTCCTTTACATGCATTATTGTCTTCTTGTTTCCCCCATGAAGAATTCTGCTCAAGAAAGGTTCTGTCCATCCGTCTCGTCCACTGAAGCATTCGGCTCGGTTCACTCCTCTACACCACAAGTGAGCAAAAAGCCTCGAAACTCGCAGAATCCACAATGTCAAACACCGCCACATCAGCTCTCAGTTCTCTCAAAACTAATCTCAGAGCTCCATGACAAGCAGAGAATCGACACCGTACTCGTAAAACGGTATCGAAGTATTGATATTCTCGGTCGGCACCAGCAATTGAGGGTACTACCTGGTCCGGCTCGGGTCACCACATTTGCACAAGCACATCTCATGGGTCTGTGGGTGTCGACATGTCCCCGGGCAGGCCGTGAGCAGATCAAGATAGTTGACACTCTCTGCTTTGACTTTTATGTCAATCTCCATTGGACCAAGTGATCCCTGTGGGTTTTCAACCCGGTGAAATAGAATGAATCAAGAGACCCAGGAGATGTAAATTTCATAGTGAGTGGCCGCGTTCCAGACTCGAGAGATTTTGCCTTTAATTGTTAAGGCTGTGTCCTTTCAATCGAGCTCTGAGCTGAAGCAGGCGAGATAGTTATTCTTTTTCAGTGCGCTTGGAAATATGAAATGATCGTTGAGGCCTGAGATTCCATTGGCGTTTGAAGATCTTGGGGCCACAGAGTCACCACTGAAAAGTTGGTTGGCTCGCTTACAGCGCGGTCCGCGCCGCAAAATGCAGGTGGAGTGGAAGAGAGAGAGGAGCGTACATCTAAAGCCAGTCTCGCTACATTTCTGACGCACCTTGTAGCGAGTCCAGTTCATCCAGTTACCTATGGAGTTCATTGCAGAGTGCTGACACTCTCCTAACTCGTCTTATCACATGGGGAATGATGCACGAAGTCGAAAAGTTATGGAATACATTTCAACTTGCACTTAGCGTATGAGATTTGCCTGCAGTATGGAGGCCTTGAATTGTGTTCGATACAGTGTCGCTGTAGTTTGCAGTAATATTAAAAGAAACCCCACTGCATTTGGCGATTTTCTCTGCGAGCAATTTCAGTGACAGCATTTGATTTCACCCAATGGCTCATTGTGATACGTTCATTCATGATAGATTTCGCTTGGCAAAGTTACCCATAACATTCTATGCTATAGAGACACCAAATGATTCTCTCCAACAACCTCCATAGCCCAATCCCCTCGTGGTCCTGAACATCTTGAACCACCCAAAATCAATTATACAAAAATTCTCCTGTAAAACCCAACCTACGTTGGGGGACTAAGAGCAAAGTTTGGGCGTGGTCAAGAACTATTAAAGATGTTGAAAAGATAGACTTTTGTCCGTATGCTAATACAATATCTTCCAAGCTCAATTTCAGTTTCTGAAGGAGGAAAATAAATCAGAATCTCTAATGACCTCTTCTGGGGGTCCGAAATGTGCCATTTCGCCCTTCTCCAAAACCAAGATTTTGTCAAATTCAACCGCGGCCTCGAGACGATGTAAAACTGAGATCACAGTCTTTCCTTGCAGTCTTTTGGCGACAACATTCATTATTTTCCGCTCAGTGGCGACATCGATACTTGTCAGTCTGTTAGTTCCCATTGAGTTTCAATAAAATTGGTGGTCTCTTACCTGCTAGTGGCTTCATCCAGTAGTACGATACCCCCTTTATTAGAGTCCTCGATTCCAAGAATAGTTCGGGCTAGGACAAAAAGTTGGGTTTCGCCAACTGATAGAGTTACATCGCCTAGATTGGCAGAGAGAGATCCTGATGCATTGATTTTATTCAGCAAAGCACAATCACGCAGGGCATCGTTGATGGTCTCATCAGACAATTTTCCAGCCGGATCTAGTGCATCGCGAATGATTTCTCCATCTGTGAACGCGTCTTGTGATATAACATGAAGTTTGGATCGTAAAACATATCGTTGGACTTTTGAGATATCGATACCGTCAAGATAGATGGAACCTTTCGTTGTTTCAATCAGTGCCAAGAGGGATAGCAACAAAGTCGACTTTCCAGAACCACTACGACCACAAATAGCAATCCTCTCACCAGAGTCAATTTTCAATGTCATTCCTCGTAAACTCCATGAAGGCTTTTCTACATCGAGGTTATAGCTTGTCCAAACGTTTTCAAAACTCAGCTGACCTGAGGTTGGCCATGACATGGGTACATCAGTCGGCGATGTAACCTCTGGCTCTACAGGTGTTTCTTGCTCAAAGGCTTCAATTCTGGCAATAGCTCCTAGAGAAGTCTCTAGAGCTGTCCAAGATTGAATGGTCTGTGTCAGTGATTCTCCCAAACTTACCAGATTAAAAAATGCTACTCCAATTCCTCCGGCACTTGTCTTGTGGCGCAACCCAATGGCCACACCAACCACTACTACTGCGAGCCCGGCAACTACTAGATTCAGCGTCAACTGAAGCCAAGTCTGTACCATGTAGAGAAGATATATTGGCTCTTGTGATCTTTCCAGCTTCTCGTAAAACTCTCCTTGCATAATATTCTGCCAGCCATGGGCCCTAATTGTCACCAGTCCTTCATATACCTCTGCGATCATCGTGTGCAATCCAGCCTTGGATTCTAAATCAAGTTGTCGAAGCTGTTTCGATGTTCGTAAGTAGAAATTTTGGATCAAAAAAAGCACGGCTGCCAGGACAGGAAGGATAGCAACGATGTAAACAGCAGAAATCGTGATTAAGATTGCCTGGAGAATAGCAGCGAATAATCCAGAAACAGTGTTCAGAAGCTGGAATGGAAGTTGGGTATCAACAAGCATGAGGTCTTGGTTGAATCTATTTATAAGGCTTCCGGAATCGATGGTGCTGATGAAGATGAAAGGTGCATTGAGAACAGATCGGAGTAGTTTACCATGTAGCCCAATACCTGAAGTTGGAATAATTTTGAGCATGAGGTGACTACAATGAATTAGCTTAGGTAAATTTCTAGACCAGGGATAAACTCACGCTACCCAAAGACTTATGGCGATCAGTGGAAGCAAATTTAAGAATGCGTAGATACCCATCCAGTACTCAACGCTTCTTGTCGAGATGCCAGTATTTGCATTAGACCACCACTCTGCCCATATGTCTAATTCTTTGTTAATGGTTATGATAATCAAGTAGTCGCTTAGAATAAAACATACTGGGGAACCTAAAAGTGAAGGCAAATATGATGGCACCAATGAAGAAGATAGTTATGTTTGAACGCCCAATAGAAAGGAGATACGCTTGGTAGACCCTCTTATCTGTGATTTTAGTTGGGTCGGAATGGTCACTTTTTGATCGAGATTGAGACCCAGGGCTGGACTGTGTAGCATTGATTGGTTTCCCCTCAATTTTATCTTCCACCGTGGACTGAATTGTGCAAGCTATGGGCTGCAACTGCTGGAGGCTTCCTGCATCGTCTATTCGAAGAACCATATCGGCAGCTTCTATGAATTGTTCTACAGAGGATTAGAGGATGATATAATTTTCGTCCAAGGGCCTGCTTACGGTCCTGAGTAACATTAATAACTGTAGTTCTTTGCTCGCGCAAAATACCTTTCCGCCCGAACAACTTTTCTTGCATGGAAGTTTTTGTAGTTTTATCTATAGCACTGAAAACATCATCTAGTAGTAAGATTGCAGGTCGAGTTGCAATCGCACGTGCTAAAGCCTGAATTCCGTAAGTCGAAGTTTCATGTGTGGAATAGAGCGACTTACCAGTCGCTGGCGTTCACCACCACTTATTTTAGCTCCACCACTTCCAACAGTCTGGTGCGCACTTTCTACATTCAATAAGCCGCCGAGATTACAACTATCAGCAACCAAATTCTCCCATGATTTGTCGCTGGGTGCGCTTCTAAATGCATTTTCGTATGCGGAAACATTTTTTAGCCAAGGATTTTGGCTACAATACCCGATACCTACGCCTCCAACATGCATAGTTCCAGCCTTAAGTTCGACTTCACCAAGTATTGCTTGTAACAAGAGTGACTTACCGCAACCGACAGGACCAGTAACAGCGACGTGTTGACCTGCAACAATTTCAAAATTGATATCATGCAGAATTGTTTCAGTGCTCCAGCCCAAGCTTGCGTGCCGCATGGATAATATTGAAAGATCCTTTGATTTTACTGGATATTCTTCCTTCTCCTGGCTCAATACTTCTTCCTTACCTACAAACTCAGTCTTGTAGTCGTCCCCGGGCTTGATTCCATCAACTACAATTACTCTGGAGTCAATGACTTCTGATTTCTCAAAGAAGTCTTCCACACGAGAGAAGCATCCAAACGCGGCTCCAAAATGCGGGAGAATTTGTAAAATTCGTATGAGTGGTGATGCAAGCAGGTTAATGAGAATAAGGGAACCGAATAATCTCGAGGCATTGAAGTCTCCATTCGTAGCTCTAGTGGAACCAATATATGTTCCAAACGCAACAACGGGCGCCAATGTGAGAGTGGAGTACGCTTATAGCACATGTTAGCAGATACATGTAGAATCCTGAGTATTGGTGCACTCACATGAGATTAAACTTCCAATCAATAGTGTACGAAATGACTTGGAGGCCACAAATTCGAGATCCCGAAATTTCTCAATGGCCATTCGTACACGCTGTCCGGAGCCCATCATTTTAATTGCCTTGAGAGAAGACAGCATTTTCTTTGTTGCCGCGATTCTCTTCTCTGTACCTGCGAGCCAAGTTTGCTGTGCCTTGCCAACGTGTTTTCCGAGAAAAGTTGATCCCATTGCACAAACTAATAGAGAAGTGTCAGAAGATACACATGTTTATGGGTGGAGGAAACTGACTCAACGCGACTGCCAGGACAGTCAGGCTCGAGGGTCCAATTTGTCTCCAGAGCAGCCATGTTGCTAAACCAGTTTCTAGAACCACCGCCCATATTTCATGTATATATGCGGAAGCACTGATTATTTTGTCAACATCTGCAATTACGAGAGTGAAAACTTTTGACTCAAGACCTGTCTCCTGCTTGAGCCTCAACAACTTATCAGAGATCTTTGCAATTAAACCACCACGTAGTTTTGTGGCATATTTGTACGACATATGCCAGTACCATCCAGTAGATATCTATTCGGATCAATAAGCATTGTATTGATCAGAAAAGACGGATAAGTCTGCCTACCGCAATTCCAGTATAGGTAAGGAAGGAGGCTCCAATCAATCCATACCCCGCATTCAAAGTGGTGGATCCTTCATTCTCAAAATATGCAATCAAAGATGTGGCCAAGAATGGTTGTGCAAAGCTGAAGCCAGTAAGACAAAGTCGTGGTAGCACAGGAAAGAATATGGATGAACCCGAGCATCGTAAAGTTATGCCTAGAAGACCGAAGCGCCTAACTGGATATGAAAAGTCAGGGGCGGTGATTAGAGGAAATGGCTTATGATGGATACTCACGCTTTGGATGCTTCTGGATGTCATGAAAGTCATTCGCTAGACGGAATGTACCTAGAGTCTGATCAATCGGTTGTAGATCAAGCAATGTGAGCTTTTGTCTGTATCCGTGGAGGAGTAGCTTGTCAAGCCAAGCAAATAGCGAGCGATCCACAAAGCTAGCCAACTCTTCGGCCGCAACTTTTGTATTTTCAAAAAGCCACTGCTCTTTGCTCCAGCTTTCAAGAACGATGATGATAATTTGGAAGAGAAGTGCAACCGAACTGGCCTCAGCAACGTGTATGTAGCCTGTGTCAGCGTTGGCAAGGAGCCAATAAGTCCGCGTAATTACAGCTCTGGGCAGGAAAGTGATGCACAAGTACGAGCCAATTGTAAATGATGGAGAAAGTGAACGCGTATGCTCAAAATGCGACAAAAGCGCCAAGAAGATCGCGGCCACCATTGACAATGTGGTCGCAGGTACCGAAAGAAAAGTTCTGGCATAATTACTACAAACCAATACTAGAGTGACGAGCTGAATTATCGCGAAGATTATCACTGCAATCTACATATATATTAGCTACTTCGAATTAAAGTATAATATGAAGATCTACTAAGAGAAAGTTGAGGGACTTTGACTGACAAGCTTAAGGGAATACAGTGTACCCCGTCGGACTAAGAGAGGTTGGTTGTGAATTGCAAACACTCTTATAGCGGCAAGGATTAGAAAGAGACATGATGGGAGTATTGTGAAAAAGATTTCCTCAAAAAGCAGAGTGAAGTCAAAAGGTCTGCGACACTGAAGAACGACGGGCCCGTATGCCAACTCCTGTGTGAATGAACACGGCATTGTGATAACAAACTAATACACTTGGCAGTTTTCAGAGTATACATATTGTCCTGTGTTCAACTGGTTGCTTGTTTATATTAGTTGCTATCTGAAGCTTATCCGAAAGAGGATCCGATCCATGCACATAAAGCTCGCTAAAGCACCAGGAAGCTTGATAGACGCAAAGAAATCTCGCTTGTACCTGACAGTTAATGAATTACTTAGTACCCGGCAGTTTGGTTCTTATCGCTGTCCAATAGAAGACACAAAACTACCTGCCTCTTCAAGAGAGCTGCATCAGTTTGTGCTGGTCGCTTCTTTTGTTCCCAATCAATAATATACGACATATTGTACGAAGTATAAATGACAGTATTCTTACATATGAGCTGCTACCAAAGCTCCCCTATAACTAAAGATTTCTTTTGTATTTCGTTTCATGCAATATTCCACAGCAGACCGACAGCGGGTGCTGGACGTGTCGTTTACGGCGCAAAAAGTGCAACGAGGGCGGTTTCCCGTGTGTGTGGATTGAGAAGCACGGGCCATAAATTGACATGGATAGGTATGGGTTGATTGGAAAGATGGAGGCAACAAAGAAAGACAAGAAGCAAACCTCTGGAGTTTGCGCCAGGAATAGCCGGGTTTCTAGACAATCCTCGGATGAGTTTGCAGAAACAACGGCTAAAATTGACCAAATAATTCCCGAAAAAATGCCGATAGCTGCCACAATTGTTATTAATTAAGCATCTGAACCAAATAAATGCAGGAAAGGTGTCCGGCACAGTCAGTGCTAAGAGAGCTTGCATAGAGCTGGCTGACCATCTCACGAATCAGGATGCTCGATCATCGATGAAGAAGTTAAGAATTACCTCAAGACTCGTCAGCCAGGACTGCCAGTGACAATAAAAGTGTTTTGTGTGTCGATTGTAATATTTCCTGCCCTTTGATAGTAGCAATAGGTTTCAAATACGTCCCTTCAATCGGGCGACTACAATCACTTGAACTAATCATTCTCATGTTCATAGTCTCCATTGTCTCTATTGACCCTGAAAGATTACACACGCACTTGAGCATGGAATCAATGTGATTGGAGGAAAGCGTGATTATAGTGTGCAGATCGAACACTGTCCAGAGTTTATCGAAACACAATGGGTGGAAGAATATGTTGAGCCAACGAAGCCAACGATATAGGAATATAGTCTGCTCTATCACGCTTGTATTCCGCTTAGACCACTTCGATACATTTAGTTTGAAAGAGTGTAAGGTGGACTTGTTCGATGACATTTAAGATGAAATAGTTTCTGCAATCAAAACATCCTATCAACGCAATTTCCTTGAATACCCGCTACCACTTGTAGAGCATTTATTTGTGAACAGAGTCTAGAGGTGATCCGATGCAGGCATCATCGAGAGGAATAAGAAAATTTAGGGTTGCTTGAAGACAGTAGTAGCAGAAGTGAGCAAAATTTTGTTTAGTTGCGCGGGGGTCACTACAATTTCTAAGCGGTTACGATGTGGTTGATTCAAATTATTTAGAAAAAAGACAATGGCGCCAATCAGTTTTGATTGAATGCCAAGTGCCAAGTTTGAACTATACTCAGTTAGGATGCAGTATCACCTGATATTGAGGATAGCTCAATAACCCATTCTCAGTTCCCATCACCTTGGATACTGGAATGTCGTCAACAGGTTCTGCTTAGATCAAAAAGTCATCCACGCTCACGTTCTTCCCCGGAGAGTCACAACTACTATGCAGCTACATGGTTCACAGCAAATATCCTTTTCATGCTTCTTCAAAAGATGATAAGTCTTTTTTTGGAAGTTTTCAGAATGTATATGAAATATCGTTACTTCTTTGTGACAAAAGACTAATACTTAAGTGCTTGATTCCTGTATCAAGTTTCCTCTCCATACTTCTGCAGAAGTCTCCTCATAATATTCATAGCACCCCCCTTATATCCACCCCCAAACATCGCATAATGATTTAGATGATGATACCTAGATCACAAATCAGCAACTTTGATCCATTTTATTCCAACCCACAAATTACAAATCACAAATCAAAAATCAATATACTCACAATTCATACAACGCACACCTATCCTCCCACTCTTCTCGCGGTTCATCCTTCGGCCTAACCTCATGATATTCTCTCCAAAATGCACTCCCAAACCCTCCAAACATCCTCATAATTCCCGCCTCAAACTCCGCATGACTCCAACTAGCACTCGAATCATAAATCACCTCCTCTACTCCTCCCTCCCCAATCCGTCCAGTCCCATGATTCCCACTCCATAAATCTCCATGTACAACCACCGGTTTGATCTTCTGTCCATCACTCCCTCTCAAATTTTCATCCCCTAACAATCTCGGTACAACACTTTCCACAACCTCTTCTACCAATTTCCTTAACTCCCCATCTTTCCCATTATTTCTCTCCGCCTTCTTAACAATCCCCCTCAGCCTATTATCCCCATAAAACTCCGCCCAACTCTCCTTAAAACTATTATCTTGTTTCGTTTCCCCACAACATGTCGTAACAGGAAATCCAAATTGCGGCTCCTGATATCCTTCTGGGATCGGTGCAGATACACTATGCAACTTTGCCAATTTTCTCGCTAGAGATTCACCCGAACCAGGTGTAGATTTTGCATCTCGTGAGTTCAAATCCAAGAAGTCTGTAGCGAGGAAAAATCCTGCTCCGGATTCTAGAGGCCCATGGGCATATGATTGTGGACAGAGGTTTGGAACAATGGAGTGGATTGCGTTGAGGGAGGCGTGTTCTCCTTGAATAAATTGTGAGCACGTGATTGAGACACACATTGAATCATTGAGAAGCTATGAAATTTGGCCCAGAAGCCAGAAATAACGTAGCTAATATGCATACATACCCGCAAACATCTCTTCGCTATCCTTCCCCCCAGTCTTCACAAAGAAGAACTTTTGCCTTCCATCAACTGTACCACTTATCTTGAATGTTCTGGCGAACCCGCCGCCGCCATGCTTGGATATCGTTGCCGAAGAAGGATCAAGAGAGAGAGCTTTTGCAATGGCTGGGTCGACTTTTGAAGACATGATTGTACGTTGTTGACATGCTTCGATTTCCGAAGTTTAAAACTGACATTGAAATCATATCATGTGAATATGACGTAAGGGGTCCGTCTAATTTAAGGTTCCGAAACTGGTACAGGGCTCGCCAATTTTTCACGTCTAAACTTTGTTAAGAGGAACTCAAAGGCAATCGCAAGTGAGTTGCGACGGGTACATGTTAAATATATACAATTTAACTCTAGCTATACAGTCTATATGTTCATATGTACTATTAACCCTAAGTTCTAGCTCTCCTAGGATCCATCGCGTCACCCTTCTTATAATCTCTAACCTCCTTAGTCCCCATACTTCCCATTCCACCTTCAATTCTTCTCTCCCAGCCCCCAAGCCTAACAACCAAGCATGTGGCATTATCTCCTTCTTTACTCACTTCCGTGGAAAAACTGACAATATCTCTCGCCCCTTGTTCTGGCGTTTTTGCCTCCTTCACAACATCCACAATTTCTTGGTCACTCAATGTGCCGCTAACACCATCGGAAACCAAGACCAAAAAGCTGTATTCAGCAGGAGATATCTCTACACGTCTAATTTCCGGCTCGGCAGAAACGCCTATGCGCTTGGAACGCATATCACCGAATGCTCTTGTATTAGCCAATCCAGACATGCGCTCTTCACCAAATGAATCTGTGACAAATGTCGCAGCATATCGTCTTAGTCTTCCTCCTTCAATTGGTGAACTTGGATGATGATTGGTAGTCACAGGTTTGGCCAACCCAGTCAAAGTCTCACAAAGTATTATGCGAGTATCACCTACGTGGGCGACCATCAGTGTCGAAGGGGAAGATGGATGCCAGAAAGGAGTCGGTGTTGGGGTAGATATCATAGCAACTGAAGCAGTTGAGCCGCCAACAAAGCGCGTAGGGCCTCCAATGCGATGTGGAGAGGAATAACGCGCCGGCTCCCCTAGGATTTCGTCCGCGTTCAAAGGCGAGTCGGTGTTATTATCATCCGGACTAGGTTTCCGGGCTTGTGCTGATATGAAATCTAAATCTGCTTTCAAAAAAGCATACATTAAGGCTGCCTCGATCGAAACAGGTTTCCTTATTGGCTCTCCTTCCATAGAATCAAGAAGATCGAAATACTCCGGCTTGAAGCGGCGGAAATATCCACCGACTGTTATTTTCCAATCTGAAACAAGTGATTTTTCCAACTCGATTGCTTTAATTTTATTAGAAATTTGCTGAGAAATCGGTGTTCCTGATCCGTCATCCTGCCCTTCCTTGCTTGCCACAGACGTGCCCGAATTGGGCACTTTCGCCTTCTTGTCTAAACTTGAAGGAAGCTTAAATATTTCTGCCGTCGACTCGATATATTTGTGTAGCTCCTCCCGTAAAAAATCGCTACACTCATTTCCCCCATGCCCATCAAATACACCAAAATAGAAAACTTGTGGATCTCCGCTCGCACCATCTGCCGATGTACCGCCACTTGTGATGCTTTTGGAATTCGAACGATTTAGACTTATAGGAGCCCGCTTTGCAAATGCTGGGATCTCTATCGTTCCTGCCTGGTATGTATCTTCATTGTATGGTCTCGTACCGCGGGAAACAGAAACTCCAAAATGATGTTTCGCGCTTCGTAGAGGTATTCGCACGACAGTGAGTTCTCTAGATGTTCCGATAGTTGGTGGAGCTGCAGCTGGAGAAGGTCCTGAGCCGAGCGTATGTGGTGTTGATGCCGATCTTGGCAACTTGTGGTGCGGGCCGCTCGACCGAGAGTCAGGATGGAGAGATGAAGAGGGAAGATGCGTCGTGAAGTAGTCGTGAAACCATCTACTCTGTCCTTCCTGATGCAGGCCTGTTTGTTTGCCTGATCTGCGATTTCTGATACGATGCCTGGGAGATGAGTGTGACGTGCTGAATGCCAGTCTACCGACTTGTGTTACGGAACTACGGCTCGCGGTCGAGGGACATCTGCGGGTTATGGATCCGTTGAGGAAGGTGGATATGAAGTCTGTAGGTGCATGTTAGATGCGGTGGTTGGAAATTACACAGAACAGAAATTAACAAACATACCATACGAATCTGCCAAGGACCATGGGCCTCGAGCCATTGGTTTCATTCTTCCCATGATCCACCGTCAAGCTCTTTGAAGCAGAGACAATTCAAGCACAATCGATTGATATTTTGAAACTCTATACCATCAAACGAGATCAATGATGTCTTTTGAAGAGTTGAAAGGAGCAGCCGAGGTCGGCAATATGGACATATTTAGGCACAATCCAACAACAGCACCTAATTTCCCCAAATCGATTATTCGATCTTTTCCAATGAGTAGTTCTGAAACGGAGCCCGCGAAGAAATTGATATAATATATTGGGATATCTTATTGAAGTTACTCAGATCATGTTTAAAGGAATTGTTCGTTTGTCAAGATCTTTTCCAGCAAATTCAACATCATCGCAATGTTCATATGCTCAAGTTGGCGATAGATGAACATAAAGTTTTCCCCACAATTTCCGGTACTAGACAGGGGTGCGGATAAGTAGCCTTGCCTTATGGTTCAAACTGCATCATCATTTCGTGCCACTCACATTTTCATATGATCCCTAGATATTATTTGATATTAAGAATCCTACAATATGCTCTCGGTATAAATATCTTGCATAGCGCAGTGATCGTGCCATTGATGTGACGGTATGACTATATTGAGTTGTCGGCCATACACATGGCGTCGTCACTAAATGTCATTTGGTGACGGGCATAATCGATTTATAACCCTTGCCTTACCTACCGCAATATACGACGGTAGGTTGGCCAATCTGCTAACATATAATTTAGCGGACCTCTTACAATATGTTATCCTCCTTCCATCCTCATCCTTCTTGATCATAAGATATGCTCCATTTCATAGCCGTCAGAATAATTTGCCATTTTGGCAACAGCACATGAAGCCGTCCATATTCCAGCTAGCCATTCCTACCATATAAACTATGATTGTGGTGAGAGACGACGACCACACAACCCGTTATTGAAAGGCCTGAGTGACCAAGTTTTGAATGAAGTAGTTCAAATCGCGCCCGTCATCCTCAGACTAATTAGATGTATCAGCAATAACAAAACTGAAGGCCGTTCTCGTTTGAAATTTTCCAAAACATCATTTGAAGGTGCTTTGGTGGTACTTGAACTTCGTCAGACTTTTCGCCTACGGAGAGTACTAGTATGTACTGTACTTCATGCTCAAGGTGTTCAACTCAAAAACATAACTTGAAGAACACCAAGGAACAGTATATCTTTATAGCTAACCAATTCACAATACAATTTACACTTTTAGTACTCTACCCTGTACCTTCCTCTCACCTCCTCGAATCTAAACCTAACCACCCCTCTAGCCGTAAACCGAAAAGATAATCCTGACAGGAACAATAATAAGCCACATTCGAAACAGCTTGAATGTCATTCCATCTTACATCTGAAGTAATTACTTTGGTCTTCCTACAATATCGAATAGTAAGCTTACCTCGCTTACCATCTAATCCCTATCCTACCTAGTACCTAGGTAGTTATTCTTAGGTTTGACATGAGGCTGAGGTCTCCTAACTTGCAAATATCTATTACTCTTCGCATTTCATGCCAATTAATCTCTATTGCATACCTTTATTAATTCCTGTGGCAGTGTGCAGTGAGCATAAAGTGGAGAAAAACACGCCGTGTTACCGTCTCTCCCTGCCAACCATCTAACCAGAGCTATCTGCTGTGAAGTGCAGATAACACAATGTGGTATTTCAAGTACGATAATGATAAAAACTTATCATAAGTCTCACCAAAAAAAAAATCTGGCCCATCCTTCAAGCAGAAAGCCGAGTACAATAATCAGGGGCTTATGATATTCAAAGCAACACCAATAATTGATTGGACCCCCAATCCTTCGCTCCTTCGCTATATACACCAATCCCAGCCCCCGCTACCGCCTCTCCTTGAAATGAGAATGAGGCATTACTTTTCAGCCTTACTACACTTTTCCAACTGTTATATTCTTTTTATAACTTCACCCTTGTATGAGATGCATTTACTAATCTGGTGGATATTTTCTTTTGCTCTAATTGTGAAGCCCAGTGCATCAGCCATATTGTGTATGGAAGTGAATCCTTCATGTAATGCCTGTATGGGAATGTGTAGATGACTTCAAATATAACCTGTGATCCTCTATTTTCGAGTTTTTCTAATTCTTTCAGACAATTTCTTCGTAGCACATAAACTTCTCTTCCTTTATCAATCGCTCGTTGATATCTCTTCTATAACTTTCAATACGACCTCCACATCACAACTCTCCCATTACCACCATGCCTACGGAATACAAAAACTCTTTCTGGGCTTGCTGCTCCCCATTCGATCTCTGTACGTTTCCCAATTTCAATTTCAAGTATCATTCCAAACCAACTTACTAACAACCCATTCTAGGCCTCAAAGCATGCTGCTGTCCCTGCTTCGTCTCCGGTCGCAACCACCATCGTATTGAACACGGAAATGATGATGATTATTCGACATGTAATGGCTGGTGCTGCGGTTGGTACGGTCTTGCTGCCATCGGAGGATTCTCATTCGTATTGCAAATGCTTGATCGTCAAAAGATGCAAAAGCAACATGGTTAGTTCCTTCTTATTCATATTTCCACCTCGCCCATAGCTCTCCTCTCCCATTCCCACCTTCCAATCAAGAAATCAAAGCTAACACAACCCCAAGGTCTCGAAGGAAACGCCTGTACCGGCTGCATGGGGTCCTGTTGTTGTGCCTGCTGTGAATTGATGCAAACGAGCAAGGAACTGGACTACATTCTCCTCGAGAAGAATGCCGGTGCAAATGGGTATCAACCTCAACCTGGAATGGTTGCCGGTCCCCAGGCTGGTGCTTATAACTAAGTTTCTGATGAGTAGATAATGTTTGAGGTGTTTCTTTCGGGTTAAATTCTTTTCTGGGCTGCTTTGGGTTAGGGACATATGGGACAAATTCTATTTGTGATAAATAAGGAGTTTGTTTATACCATAATTTCATTACACTGGAGTTCAAACCTATTCCATAAAAAAGCTGGCTGCTTGTTAAAATTGAAGTACGAAAAAAAGACTAACCTAGTCATAATCAAAGCGGTGTGAATGCAATATAAATCATAGTTGAAGATGTGTCTTTATGTATAGGATAATTCTAATTGGAAAGAAGCGTAAAGACTCTCGAAACACAGGAGGGAGTTAAGTACCATGGACTTTCGATGCACCAAACGAGTGGAAGCCCTTACGAACGCCAATTACCAGTTGTTCAAAACCATGCAATTCTCCACACTCTGACATATAAACAAACGAAATTACGAGACTGCCGCAAATGGTTCGTCTTCGCCCAACCCTTTTCGTCTACGAACCTCGCTTTCTTCAACGCTGATTTTGATTTTGCCATTAGCACCAGTGCTCTTCATGGCAATAGCTTTGTCCTTCTGTCTGCCTTCTTTGGCGGGCTGGAATCTCTTTCTAACGGCCTCGATCATTTTTCCGAACCAGTAAAAGTTCAAAGTGTTGAGCACAAGATTGCTTCCCAAATATGTGAACCCTAACCAAAGAGGAATAAATTCGTCGTCGGCGAAGCGCATAATGTCATTTTTGAGTGGAGCCGCACTATGACCTGCTGCTGCATCAACTGCAGAGGCAGTCCCGTTTGCGAGTGCATCAATATTGATAGAGGCAGAGAATGCAGGCTGATTATGCATAGATCTCCATACATCTTGGTAAACACGAACTGACTGATATGTTCCCCACACAAGTCGGCAGCAGAAAAAGGTAAAGAGGAGGGCAATTCCATTGTAAAGTTGGGGCTTAGATCCGGTCATATCGAGTTTGTCGAAGAACCAATGGAAGTTGAGGAAGGGCGAGGAGAGCTCATAAAGAATAAATGTGCAACCATAAAAGTTAACGAATGGTCTCTGTATGAAATCCATTAGCAATGTTTGTTGATCGGGGACTGCAGGGACTCACAAAACCAAAAGAGAAAACCAATAGAGCACTAGTCGCATGTGCCAGCATTCCTATTCCAAAAACTCTGAGATTCTGGAGGGTGATCATCAAATCCCAGAGGAAGTAGCCAGTTGCCAGACCCTGGATCATGCCAGCAGCACCCGTATATCCATGAACACGTTCCTGTGCTGTCATGTTGCTGCGCTCCTCATCCGCAAACATAACCCACAAGGCCAGGACATTGATAAGAGAACTCTGGCATAGTGAGACCACATGTACATCCCAGTTGAGCTTTCGTTCTGCCGAAAATTTCGAGTACTTCTCAGGGAACAAGAGCATGGAAACTTGGGGTGCGACGACTTTGTTTATAAAAGTGTATGCTAAAAATGATCCGACAACTTCGTGAATGTGGAGAGGTAGTGTAGTTAGGTGGAAGTAGTCGGCAAAAGGCTGAACGGCCTGGCTAAGCCATTGCCATGGTGGGATAGGGAATGGATCATGCATCGGAAAATGATATGTCGAAAATTAGGATATATCTGAAGGGGACGAGAAGATAATAATCTTCTTGTCGTAGAACACACCGAGTGTGTTAGGAGCGAATCTAACTCTCCTCGTTGTAATGCGGAAATCGAGATATTTATGTATCTATGTATGTACGATGAAGTAGGCAGATCTGTAACGACCGACCGAGGGTGTCAAATAGTAATAAGGTTCCACTTTCCTGTCCCAACAAATTGAAGGTGTAATCTGTAAGATCCGGGAGAATTAACCAATTACAGTTTAAAGTTAAATATTAGTATCTTAACCGAGACAGATAAGTGGAACAGGGGTGATGTGTATAGTATCTTTGTATGGGGTATTTATATTGAACTTACTCGAGAATACTCCAGAAATATTCTTGATGTTTATATTACGGTTTGTATTACGGCCAGGTTCAGTTTAATAGACTAATAACAATCATGTTGCCTTTGGTGAATCATTGCTTTGTATTTTATCATGTTTCAATTTTTTCTCAAGATTCTATCATGAATCAATTGACTTCAGCAAGAAATGTCTTGCACGGTTGTACACGTGAATGAAATGAATGATTAGACTGCCACGTGGAATCGATATACACATGATATGATAACGAGATGAATGATCTGTGGTATCATGTAGAACTGACCTCCTTTCCTTCAAAGACAGTTGTTCGTTCAACACCTGCATCATACACCAACTCCTGTATTGACTTTCTTGCTCTGAAATCCCGGGGTCCGTTCGTACCGAAAATAACAAAATTCGCAGGAGCTCCAACCTCCAACTTGAGGCTGCGCGTGATATCAAGACCTATCGCTGCTCTTGCTCTTGTAGATACGCATTCCTATATCCCCTGATTAGTGGTATTCTGAACTGCTGTCGATCGAGGTACCATTACCAATAATATCTCTGCATCTGCTTTCGTGCCTGTTTGATAAATTCCCATACCCAGACTTGTGAGACTCATGGGGTCACAACTACCGTAGGGGGTGAAGGCATTGCCGACGTTATTAATTCCTATGACTGCGTTGAGATCGTATTTCCTTATCATCTCAATCACTTGGAGTGTGCCCCTTGCTCTGCTACTCCCACCGGCGCCCTTTGCAGGCCGACCCATCATGAATAAATCCGATGTAGGTAATCCGACAAACGAGATAGGTAGATCACCAATCTCAAGGCGAAGATTCCGCCAGGCATTCTCATCAAATAGTGTGAGTCTAGTGCAATGACCAAGCACAACAGTTCGAAATTTCGAGCCTGCGATATTTCTGTCGGTAAGCCACTGGGCCTTACGGAGTTGTTCAATTACCGTATGAACGGCAGGCTTTTGGTTTAAATCTAGATTGTAGTCGAGGTGAAAATCCAAATGTAATGTGTGTAATTTCGCCGTTTCGATGGTCCATTGAATGTTTTTTTCTTGGAGGGCAAAACTGTTCTCGACGTATGGGGTACTTCCAATCACCTCGACCCCGGGTCGTTTGATTGCTTGCTCGAGCAAATCTGACATTGATCGAGGTCCATGGTCGTGACTGAAGATTGGGTCCTGGGCAAATACGCATATCTGAATATGACACTTGCCATGAAATTCCGTTTTCAATGCCAATCCAGCATCCAAGCATTTCATCCCCACACCAAAGTCTACTTCAACAAAAGCTCGCATATGAGTGACACCGAATCGAATGCTCTCCTCAATCAAAGCCCTCCCCCTTTCCATAAGGTCATCATGTTCGAAACGTGACTTGGCTTCACCTAACACATATAGAATTTAGAACAAGTTAAGAATGTGTTTATGATGGCAATATCAACTGGATGATTGACGAAACATTCAGAGAGAGACAAACTAGTTAATTTCATTGCCTCGGAAAAATCACCGTCGTTGATTTCTAGATCTGCATATTTTGGATGTGATAACAAGAAGCATTTGTCAAGATGGATGTGAGGGTGGCACAAGCCAGGAACTATAAGGCGATAGTCCTTTTGCTTCGCGGAGTCTGATGTAGAGTTGTCTGCACATGTAATTGAGCGAATAGGCCCCGTCAAACAGTTGACATCATAACATGAGTCCGAAGGATCTCCCGGAATATGAACATCTTTGAAGCTTGAGATTTCATTATCCTGTAGCTTCCTCAGCTGCTCAACATTCGGCATGAGGGTTTCTGACATTTTGAATATATGTTCGAAATGATGATTTACTCCTCTCCATTGGCAATCCGCAGATTCAAAGAAGGCGATGTGGAGAATTGTGAAGATCCCGCCAGGTCTCGGAGTGCAGTAGCGTACTTTTGGAGCTCTTGGGGTGAGCATTAATCATTGCTCCTAACATTTTATTTTATTTTACTTCAACCACGGAACAAAACTACATAACAACCTCAGCCAGCGTCATTTTTGGTGTCAAAATGGCAGATCCGTTATATGAGCTTCTCATTCCATATTTCAATAAACCGTCGCCACGACCAGCACCACCGTCGACCGATCCCACAACTGCCACCTATTTGAATCGACTCTCCACCCTCCCCCTCTCTTCACTAAATACTTCTGAACCTCAATCGCTTTCCCAAACATCCCACTCTCTTCTTCTATCTCTACAAGCTCTGTCCAAGCGCTCTCATAAATCAGTTATCGCATCTTCCGACCATTTATCGACACTCACTACTACTCTCCCTACCCTTGCAAAAGCCACCGCAGACTTGCGAGATGCCCTTCCCAAGCTGGACGATGCAGCTATTCATTTCAGCGAAAATTATAACAATCGAATTGAGAATGATGTCCTCGATCGACGTCGCAAAGCTCTTTTACTATCGCGAAACGTAGACAGACTTGCGGATGTTCTCGACTTACCTACCTTACTTTCTACCGCGATATCCTCTTCGAACACAATAGCTAGTAGTACGACCGGTAGAGAGAACAATACATTAAATTATGCCTCTGCACTAGATCTGAATGCACATATCAGACGACTATACGCATTATACCCTACTTCCCCCCTTATAACGAGTGTATCCTTACAAGCGGAGGAGAAAATGCAATCTATGGCCACAAACCTCATTTACTCGTTGCGACAGCCCTCTCTCAAACTTGCAGCTGCTATGCGTACAATATCTTGGCTGCGGCGAGTTGCCCCCGAACTCGATCCTTCTACATCCACATCGAGCTCCTCACAAACACGAGAAGGAGCGTTAGGCTCCTTGTTCCTTGTTTGTCGCCTTGCCAGTCTTACAGCTATGCTTAACGCACTCAGTCCTTTACGAGACCTCGCTGATCAAGAATCGTTGCGGTTAATATCATCGGCTGGAAAGGCAGGAGGAAACAGATTCGATGCAGGGCAACAGGCGGAAAAATATTTAAAACGCTACATTGAGATATTCCGGGAGCAGAGTTTTGCAATTATTTCCATGTTTCGCTCTATATTTCCACCACCGACAGCTCCAGTCACAATAGAGGGACTTAAAAATAACACGCAAGGGAAAGAAAATAACGATTTACTGGGTCCATTACCCAGTGCCCTGACTACATTTCCTCTTCAATTAGTGGGAATGTTGGAGGAAACTCTGAAAACTTATCTGCCTAATGTCAGAGACAAAAGTGGTAGAGATAGTTTGCTCACTCAAGTTCTTTACTGTGCCGGTAGTTTGGGACGATTGGGAGGTGACTTTAGCCTTGTTCTTGCTGGTATGGGAAGTAAAGTCGACCAGGAAGGACTTGCCGAGGGGGGATCTGATGAAGATGAGGATGATGATGAAGAATGGGCAGAGGTTATCAAAAAGCATCGAGTTTTGGCGGGCAAGCTGGAATCTATGGTAGGGTCCAGAGGAGACTAAAGACCATGCGGAATGCATTCAGGGCATTTCGACCAAGTTTATGATTTAATATTATTTTCCAAGATACCCAAGTAAATTAGAATTGTCGCATTTTAGTATTTTCACAATGTACGTTATTAATACATCAAACCGATAACCAGATACCTACCTATCTCCCAGAATAAGTGAATTTCAACATCCAAAAGTGACAATCACATAACTGGTCGGGACCGAAACCACGCTAAACATGGTCTTGGCCAATTAGATAATCTTGATTGTCATCCCTCAACTTCTCAATACCCAGATCCTTTGCCTACCTGATTTGTCTTACAACAATACACCATCTTTTCCTCTAGCCAGTCATTCAAGCGTTAGATTATGCATGCATACCATATCCAACAATGCTTCTTCAGAATTCATGAATCTTAAACTCCATGTTTCGTTTTGGCTTCCAGTATCATGGGATACATATACCGAGCTCTCGATCTGGGTAAATGCATAGCGGATTTTGTATTTTCGGTAATCGATAGTCGAGTTACTTTTCTGGAACGGGCATTTTGAGGTATATCTGGATAGCAATTTGCATTTGGAAGATTCTCACACGCGGCATATAACTTCAGTGGGATTCGTGGGAATAGTGGGAATGCTAGCTAGATGTTCGAGCGAGCTCTTTGCGAGTCTGATCCTTTCGTTGAGGATGTTGACGATGTAGCGATAGCTCGACAGTTGCAAGAGCTTGCACGGATTCAATGATAATAGGTTTCATCATCTCTGAATATGGTTCATTATTTCATTAACATATTCTAACTCCATCATTGCAAGAATCTGTATCCGAGAACTTAGCTAGTGCTATCAAATCCAATTTTCATACACGATGTAGCTTTGGTATTTTACCCCGGCCAGCTAAGCCATTTAGTCCGAGATAGTACGGACTGGTACCTCTCTCACTGTATCTGTAGCCTTCTCGGGATCTTTAGCCACCGATGAAGCTTCACTGCTGGTTCGTCTATAGTTTTGAGCCTCATCGCTCGGTGTGACCTCTTCATCCTTGTAGATGGCCCGTTGCTTCATGTTTGCGATATAACTCTTCACAGTTGTAATGGGTGCGAAATAGGGTCTTAGTGTTGGGGCAAGTGGGAGATGGCCCTTCACCTCCTTATATCTCATTAGAAGGAATCCAACAATGACCACAAGCCAATAGAGGTTGTATGAGATGACGGAGCCATAGGTTGCGGAGTTCTGCCAGCCGAGAATGGCATTGAAGATTCCCCATCCGCCACCACCATTTAATTCAGGGTTACCAAACTAGAGGGGTTAGTAAAAACACATGGTGATGATGTCAATTTGACTTACGTTGACATGCCACACACTCTGCCTAATATCATAAGAGCCCGGTCCTGCTCCAGTCTCTGCTGCATCACCTCCGGTAGCATCGTTCCAATTTTGTGCTTGGAAAAACCACACTGCTCTTGAGAAAAGACCGGCAGCTACGAGATATAAGAGACATGTTGATATAACCAAGAAGAATTGAAGTTTCGATGTTGCTCCACCTCTGTGCCGTGTTAGACTGACCAGCAAGATTGACAAACTTGACTTACTTATAGATGACATATCCTGCTGCTAATCCAGCAATCAGTCCAATAATGACTGGGAGTGGGATACTTGTTGCAGGCGTAGAGAAAGAAACACCTGCCACAAAGACGACGGCCTCAAGTCCTTCTCTAAGGACGGTAATGAAGGGAAGAACGAACATGAAGTGCTTCTCTCCCCATTTCTTGAAGTCAAGCCAGCTAGCATACCATCTTCGCTTTCTTGTATCTTCTGATGGCTCTAAATGCTGACGAAGCTTAACCGTCCACTTTTCCTTCATTTTTGACACACGGAGTAGCGCAGCTCCCATCAAAGTGATGATAACAGAAGCGACAATGGCAAATGAACCCTCCCAATAGTATTCGGTAGTGGACCAGGCATCTTTGCCAATGCCGTAGAAGGCCCCAATCAAACCACCGCCGATGATCAAGCATAGGAGAAGTCCTGATAGAGCTCCCCAAATGACCTAGAAGATGTTCATTAGAGATCATATCCAACGTTTCGAACCAAAATGGAAAGAGCAAGTGGAGGGATAATCAGATATCTTACCTGTCGGAAAAGTTTCTTACGCAGTGTCGCATCTTGATCAGAATTGCCCAAACTCTGCTTGATGAATGCAAGAAGAACGGAAACGATGACGACCGTCTCCAAAGACTCTCGAAATACGACGAAGAATACTGGTACCGAGAAAACGCTAGCAGTCATCTTCGCTATAATTCTTGTTGTGTTTTCTGTTTCTCTAAGGGATTGTAGAGTTGCAATTGCGCGCTGCAACAAAAGGAGAGAAAGGGTAGCTTTTTGAAGAGAAATCAAACTCTCAGATCATGGAAGGATGATGCCGTTTATCCAATATTTCCATCAAAATTGAGAGATGGAAAGAGGGAAAGGGCGGAAGGATCTGATAAGAAGAAACGAGGATCTGATAACAGTTAGACACTAGGGAGGGTCTGAGCCATCAAGTAGAATTTTTCAATGTTAAGCTAGCTAGTAGCTAGTGAATTGATTTAATCCTTATTAGATAAAGAAACCCCGAGAAAAACTCCAGGGTTTATTGGTAGGATACGGAAACTCTAAAGCTTGCTAGCCTGGCATTGGCAGGTTGAAGATTTGGAATGACACCCGGGAACCTTGATTGGTTGATATAAAGAGGTCGAGGGTAAAAGTCATTCTTACCCTTGGATTAGACGCCAAGTATATACGAGGGCAGTACGACCCGTTACTTGTTACGCATTTAAATCGATACCGACATGTGTGTACTTGGAGTCTTGGATGAACTTATGTATGGAAAGTTGTCATATTCATTGCTGATCGTATTATCAATAACGAGACTGAAGCAATATATTACATCCATCTCCTGTCGTTTTCCGTTTTGCGGAACTATCTGGGTTATTTCCGCAGGAGGCGTTTAAGCTTTGCGGTCAGGTAACTCTGCACGACCCGAAAGCTTGAACTAAAAGCTTGTACGCCCGTGGGGTTGTAGCTGGTATCCTGGCCAGTCTAACCGTTTTGGTACTTAGTGGCACAAGCTAGGTAATTCGATGGATTCCATGAATTCCGAGTCTGTAAAGTGAATTTTTGGTACGATGGGGAGAAATGAAACGATTTTTATCAGATCATCAAACGATTCATAGATAACGGGAAGGTTTCGATGTGAATTCAATTTTGGGCGGGTTTAGGTTTGAATACACCTAGGTGGTGGACACCGCTCTGCATCGAACATCAAGCATTTCTCCCTGCAGTTGATTTTTTTCCACCTTTCTTGCTTCACTGTATCAC